ACTTGACTGACTTAAAAAACCGTCGCGAACATGCGCTATTATTGTTGGACTTTGGACGCTTTAAGCCCAAAATGATGGTGCAATCTCGAGAAATTTGCCCGGGTCTACTTATAAGACAGGGAACGGGTACTAAGAAAGGGACGGTCTCATTTAGCAACCCGTGGACAATCTGGGCATGCTTGCATTCTGTCGCAGGGGCAACCGACAAGGCCAGGTACGCCGCCCCCACCCGAGAGGATTGCATGGCATCCACCATTTCAGTCGCTTTTTGCACATCATGACCTTCAATTATTATGAATTATAATGCGGGCCTTGATCGTTGCCACCTTATCAGAAGTCTAATCTTCGCACTGTTAGGCCATGAGAATCTCTATTATTATTCCATAAATGCACCATTGACTTTTCCTTGCTCAGCTTCCGGTAAACCGATACTCCGAAGCAAAAATAGCTTTACAACGACTCTATCACGGCCAGAACTCCCGATATCAACAAATATACCCCCCCCCCCCCCTCTAAAGAGAGCAAACGTTCCCCGAACTATTCACTTGACCCACCCCATCCCTTCGTTAAGAAAAACTACGCACTCAGTTCACTGGACAAAACGCGCTCGTGAATATACCAAACTATAGCCGGTCATCCTACAACGAATCTCAATTTCAGCAGGCGTGGCCACGTTTCCAGTTGCTGTAAGATTAATTCGACACCTGCAACAGACACTGTAAATTAAATAGAGTGTTTTCACTCACGTAGCCAGCATGTATGCAAATTTATTGGAACAAGGAAAGCGTTTGCATAAGAAAGGAGTTCAACTCCCACAGAACTGGTTTGGGACACCAACATGGTCGCCGTTTCATTGTTTTGGGAGACCAATATGGCCGCCGTGACGTCATGTGAAAACACTCTATAGCAGCCACAACGCCCTTCCTTGAAACCGTCAGGACGAGAAAGTTTATAAAAGACTTAACAGGTGTGCGCGGCGGTTTCCTTTTCTTCCTTCCCTCCCATTGTAGCACTCAAATTCTGACCCTGATCGTTCCTGAGCCGATAGGCACAAGGATACCAGTTTCTTGCAAAATATGCTGTGACATCCGTTTGCTCATCCCCCTTTCTGCCTTTGGCCGCTGATTAGGTTTGGTTCTGTGCTTTGAAATAACTTTAGGAACGAAACATGATACGTGAGGGGCGTGTCCGGCTAAGGGCAAGTGACTCTCGGTGGTGAAGACATATACTGAGCTTGTCAGTATTTCGTAGCCTGTACCACGTCGCGAAAATAGAACAAGCCAAAGAAAAATAAGACGCCTTTCTTTCCCCAGCCCCCGCAGGTTTTTCGCATTACTTTTTACTGCACAACTGATTCTACCTTTTCGAGCCGGAGCGAACATGGACGCCCTCCACTTCATTTTCGGCACCTGACTAAACGCATGCGCTGATCTGACTTGTGCGCCGATGCTTCGTTTGCACTGAAGTAGCAGTATATGACCACGACAGACTTGCTGCTATCCTTGGTTTGAAACCGCAATGGTCAAGAACAATTTCTTGAAAAGAGCAAACTATTTCCTCCTTAGCAGACATGGAGAACAACTACTAGGACTTAAGCAATGCCATTGCTTAAGTCCTACTAGACTTGAAAAGAGAAAGCATGATGCTTTCTCTTTTTTATGATTTACGGCTAAACAGTACAATTTCATGTAGCTTTTACGCAAAATTAAATACTTAGTTGTTTGCAGAATTGCATTTAAAAACAAATTACAGAAATTTAACTAAGTTTAGATCTCATAGATAAGAATTGAACGGAAAAAACTTTGGGGTAAAAAAGTCAAAAAATGTTTTCTGGAAAATCACTTAATGGACATATATAAAATAGCAGAGATATCATGCCTGTAATTTTCCGTTCAATGCACCTTATGACAAGTCTGACTAATCCACTGGTAACCCTTGCCTTAAAACCGCCTTGAACCTTAAAATTTAATCCATATGCCTTTCATGCGTAGTGCAAATATATCTTCTGAACACTCCGGGGTTGGGGGTAAAATCAGAAGAACAGAACATTCAGTTACTGTACCACTTTTAAAAGTGGGACAGTATGTTTGCTAATCATCTTAGTTAACCGCTTTTAAAATAGGACAAAAGGACAAAAGGACACCTGGTCATACAGGAAAATGAATTTTCTGTATCCCGAAAGTTTTGGTTTCCCGTGCACTTATTTTTCGCAGGAGACAATCGATAATTGCCTGGTTACGCAATCGGAGGTGAGTAACTAAATAAAAGTCACTGATACCATCGCCGCTTAGCACTACGTGCTGCAAAGGATCCAAATTGCGCTAGAATGTTTTTCTATTCGGCCCACTTTTTATCTCAGGTAAGGCACTGCAAAGCGGATTCATTTACGAAGGTTCGAGCGAGAATTATTTCATGATGTTATTCTGATTTCGCAGTCACGGGAAAACAGGCCTAGATTCAGGTCCACCTCGCAGACGCCATGGTACAATCTACAAGATCTCAAGAACAGACATTACCCATTGAACTGCCTCTCCTTTTGAAGATTGCGTGTATTTCATTAAAACAGGTACATATTTAAAAAAGCTTGTTAGTTTCTCCCTTTTAACGAGCTCAAATCGATGCATAAAAAACTAAGGTGACGTGCACGTGTCAACTGACCCTGGGGTCAATTAGCGGTTGTTTTGGTGAAAATAACCTCAAAATAATCAATCTATTTTACAAGCGTTCGCGAGAACACCAGACTAACTTTCAGATAATGTTGAAGTACTATATCTCATTAGGTAGTAAGCGGGATTTGGGGTGATTTGGAGAATTCCCCCATATAGAAAATTCGATTTTGGTTGTAGCGGTAAATTTTTGTATTTATAAGCATTATGCAAATTACGTTTCAAAATTGTGCTCGTTCGTTGATATTTTATGCTCTAAATCTAAAAAAATGTGCTGTTTAGAAATTGTAAATATCTGTGTTTTGAGATTTAAGTGGAAGATTGCCAATATATTCGCTCGTTTTTGAAAGTCAGCTCATTTCTGTCGCTAGGCTATATTGCCGTGTTCGGCGGCTAATGTTAGGCCCGCGGACCGTTGAAATCGAAAATCTCAAATAATTCCCAAATTCGGCCGCATTTTGAAATTTAAACCTCAGCAGTGTTATAAACTCATTAAGACGTTATTACAGACTTAAAATGAGGGTAGGTTAGGTTTTGAGCTGTGGCCACGGTTTGCTCGATTTTTCTGTGCATTCGCTCTTAATCCTTTCTTCTTGTAGGTGAGGAATTGACCTTATATGTCATCCTTCTCAGCAACGTTTTCATGTACGAACTACATGGTGAAAATTTAACACCAAAAATAACGAGATTGATTAAAGAAAAGTTGGCACTCATTCCAGACACGAAGCTAGTGATAGGTCATGACCAATTGGCAAACCAATCAATTGCCCGCGAAACTCTTGAAGTGTATTTCCCTTGGGACATTCTTCTAGCTACAGTGCGTGAGCACTTAGAAAAGCGCTGGCAGACTCTGGACCTCATTTCAGTGATGCAAGAGGTAAAAAGGACTCTAGCAAATTCACATGCACGCCATAGATTTCCCAGAAGAGATGGACCTACAGTGCGTGAAAATCTGTCTTGTATTCCGAGACTTCAGAAAGTTGACAAATCTCTTCGAAAAGTCGTCTCCAAACAAGAATGAATCATCCCACTAGCTTATAATTCCTTCTAAGTATCCAGCCTTTCTCCACCCCCTCTCCCTATCCCTACGATAGTTGCCCCACTTGGCTCTCTCTTTTCCGGGGGGAAACTCCTTATAATGGCCCATACGGGGAGGTTCCACCTGAAAGGTTTACCTTTTACAGGCTTCAGGTATATGAAAGGCTAAGGAATTAACTTGCTGAAGTATATGGATGGGTAGTGAAATCTGTCATTTCGTTCTGTAAAATGACCTAAAAGGGCTAGAGAAGGATTAAAAGAAATTGCATTTACAGCAGCTAAAAGGGATGCAAAGTTTAAAACTAGTTATGTAAATGGGGTGCTATTTGTTAATGAAAATTACACAAAAGGGGTACCTTTTCTCCCAAGAAAGGTATACAAAAGGTTAAGGCCTTGGACTTCGGGGCGGAGTCTCTCAGTATAAAACTTTGTTGAGTTCCTCCCTCGGGCTCTCTTAAACTCTACATTCTTGGTTGGGCTGCCGTCAGACAGTGTAACCAGTCGCTAGTGTGAACTCAAATATTTAAACATTGGCAAAGAGTTTTTAAATTACAGTCGCCTTGTTTTCTGACTGGTTTTACGAGTAAGAATAGAAAATATAGCGTTTCTAGTTGGAGATTTCTCTTCAACTCAATTTGATTTTAATTGGCACACAAATGAAAAAAAGCCAAAAACTTGTCAAAGGAAGTAACTAGGCTAGATGTCTTTAACTATGAAATTTATGATTTGGTTTTGATGTTTACAACTTTACCTTCTTTAATGTAACAGTATAGTTAGTAAATATATAACTGCAGCCTTTTTTGTTAACTTGAACACGAAGAACAACAACAACAACAACGGTCTTTGTTCTTTCAACAGTTAAGTTATCTTATGTATAACGTCCATTGCTAAATAAAGACAGCTCCCACAAATTTTCTCGATAAGTTTACTAAAATCAGTAAAAAACATCATTACAATACGCGATTATCTACAAAGGAATGTTTCTCTGTCAAATTCTCCAAAAGAGAAAAAATGAAAAGGTCTTTAACTAGGATTGGTGTGTTTATTTTGTATTCTATTCCACTTTCTGTTAATTAACTCTCAATAAATCTAATTTTCGTGAGAAAACAAAATTGGTACTCAAGTTCTAGATGATGACCAGAAAGCTATGCGAATGTGTAAGGGTATTTTATGAAGTTAACATGATAATTATATACCTCTGGTTGTAATTTTAGTCTAGTTCAAGTGACAAATAACTCTATACTTAAAAGTTACGTGTAAATGTAGCAAGAACTTCCAGTGCTGCTTTCTATATCGCCTTGGTCTTGCCTTGTCCCGCCTAGATTCGCTTAATAGCTATTTACGAGGTATCTAATATTGTAAAACTTCAGCTATCATTTGTTAATAAACAAATTGTTGTTGTTGATGTCCGTTGTTGAAACTAATTGAATTTGTCAGCCTTTTCTTTTGTAGTATTGACGCTGCTATTTCACGTAAAATTTTGTTACTACGTTTTTAAAGTACTATTTCATCTGCATAAAGCTCTTGTATGTGAAGCTTGGAGAGGTTTCATGAACTCATCAAAAATAAAACAATCTGCTGCAGCCAATAACAGAGTTGCAGACTAGCCCAATGAGTCTCGTGAGTAAAAAAAGTGCGTAGGAACAAGTCAAGATTTATTTGGTTCCAATTGTGCTTGCAGTCTGAGACAGTGGCGCGAAATCTTTAAGCCAATACCAAGGCACACAAAGAAAAGCAAATTCTCCAAAAAGATATTGACGTGCAGTGAAAAACAGGCATTAGCCTGTGTGAAGACACCCCCTGCTAAGGGGAGGGGGTGTCTGTACTCAGGCTAACATGTATAAGTACTTTTAAAATGCTGTAATAAGAAACTCACTTTTTACTTTGTATTATTTTTTACCTTACAATGGAGTTACTTGAAATGTTTATGAGGACGACAAATGACGACGTCTTTACTGCTTATTACTCTCAATGATATTGATCATCATGATGTTGATGATGAAGTGATGATCAGATAGTAATGATGACCCACTCAGTTATTCGAAACATGGCAATCACCATTATCAAGTTGCTACATCATACTTTTTCCAAGAAGAATTATTTGCGCTATTTTGTAATGATGCACTTCCAAAAAAACATTGTGTTTTATATGCCTTAACATTTCTCTACTGATTGAAAGGAAGACTCGACACACTATTCTAGATGGCGAAAAGATTTAGGATCGAAACTAACCAATCGAAAAATAGGACAGTTCCCGTTGAGGTCCGCACGCCCAATTCTTTGTTAAAAGAGCGGTTTCTGATTGGCTGAAATACTTAAGGTGGGCCAGGTTGAAGTCGTCACACCGTAAGATCCTCTTTTTAGAAGGTTCAATTCAGCATTTTCCACATTGCTTCAAATGACATATTTGCGTTCAAACGTTTGCCATCGTCTGTAACATCTGTTTAATCAAAGACTGATGTGGTTGCCGGAATTTTTTTAGTAAACGGCGAGTCGTTCACTGCACTTTTGATTAAATAACTTTTTTATTTCCTTTTTTGATTGAAGTCACGCCCAAAATTTAATCATTTTCTGCATAAGCCCGTTTGAAGTCTCGCGGTCAAAAAGGGGACAGACTGGCTGCTCCCTCGGGTGCGAACTTTTGAGTTTTAAGCAATTTTTTGACTCATTTTGCATAAATTACTGATTCAGCATAATTTTGTCATTCCGCAAGTTATGCCACATGTTATTCCGCCAACTCATTCCACATTTTAAACTCACAAACTAAGACGAAGAAGACCAGGACACTTGAATTTTAAAATCTTATTTGAAACATTTAATAACGAGGTGCGACATGAAACTGAACAACTCTAGGCACTGAATATTTGTCCACGTATCAGAACGCGGATCATTATACGTTTCTGGGAAACTGCCCACCTTCCCCTCCCTTAGGCCAACATTAACATTTACTTCTCACTTAGGACAAAATGTTGGCTTAGGAGGGGTAGGTGGGCAGTTTCCTAGAAACGTATAATTTGTATCGTGTTTGACGTCTGAATCTTAAAGGCATGCAAAGTGGTATTCAAAGCTGTTCAAGTCTTTTCTACAACTGAGATTTGACAACGGTTTCTACTTTTGTAGGCGATATATGCAAAATCAAACTGGAAACTTAAGTTCACGTGACCCATAGTTAAAATTCATTTTATGTCGCGTGACAAACGTAATCGCCTATACAACACCCATCAATGGACATTTAATAGAGATGCCAAGACAGCCATGATTGATGATTACCACAGCGATGGACTGAAACGCTAAGATCGTCTCTGCAAAAATGTCTGTCATTGAATATAATGATTTGCTGTTCAAGGTAAGCCAGAGACTCAACGAGCTGAATGTAGGTAAACGATTGCTCGTTATGTGCAGAGGGAAGGTGGCGCCTCGTAGCGAAGAACACCTACCAGATGCCTTACAGTTGTTTTGGGAATTACAGGAGAAGGAATATCTAGGACCTGATAGACTGGGTGTATTGAAAGATGTCATAGGAGGTTTAGAGGAATGGTCTCTATTAGAAAATGTCGAAAAGTTTGAGACCAAAAGAAAGGAGTATCATGGTTTGCTTGAGCAGATTATTCAGGAACTCGAGCTAAATGATGTGGAACAGCTCGTCTCGATTTGTAAAGGAAAGATATTAGACGAGAGGCAAGGCAACATTCGGGATGTTCGATCATTGTTTCAAGAACTGAAGAACAACAGCTGTCTGGAAATTAATCGTCTTGACATCTTGAAGGAGATTTTAAGACAAACGGACAAAAGAGACCTGCTTGAGAAGGTGAAAGAGTTCGAGGAACGAAGAAATCGGGAACATAAGTCTGAAAGGCGAGCAGGTGCTTATTTAAGCCTCTTAAACCGTTATTCGTTTTTTCATTATTTAGGTAAATAAAATCTAACCTTATTATTGGGTGATGTAACCAATTTTTTTTTTGGCTTGTTTGCTTTCAGCACGATTAGCTGCCGTTGTTTCCTCGGCTAGCGGAACTCTAAAGGGAGGTAAGATGTAAGATGCAAATTAAATGTTTAGATAGGAGAAGGTAAACAGGTCGCCACGAAAAACACTTTGGACTAATGTTGCACAATGCCGTTTGTTTTAGATTACACTTTAACCCCGGTGATACGTATCGTAAATTTGTGCCTGTATCTTACTTATTTCACTCCAAATTTAGGAGGGTAAATTGTGGTTCTGGCGAGAGTTTTCTTTGACGTGCATGGCCAAGCATGGCCATGAATAAACTCGCCCTTTTGTCCTGATGTTCTATCAGCGAATGAGCCTGGATACAGACTCTTATCAATTGTGACTAAATAAAATAGTTTTGTCATAGTTCGTTTTAGATTTATTATTGAATAAATAGTTCTTATTTTTGAAATAAATGTAACTGCAATATCTAACATGAAGCATTTCGATACCCCCCCAAAAAAAAGCATTGATTGCTTTTGCCTGTGTCTAGTGGAGTTTTCAATTACTCTACTAATCTATTTTCTGTGATCTTGAGACAATCTTGAACCGATTGCTACTTTGTATGTTGCAGTTTTGACTATCAAGACCGTATTCAAGGTAGCCGCCGGAGGTATTGTTATTGCTTCCGCCTTTGAACTCCTGAGACGTGGTTCCAGTTATGATCAACTCGTCACTGCCATTACTACTTGCGTTCTCCCTGCTGGTGCTAAACTAGTGCAGATAACTGAAGGAAGTGTTAATCTCAAAGTTCAAGCAGAGCACATTTCAGCTCTGGACACTTTGTGGAGTTTGTACAAAGATGGGACGCTTAAGGAAGGTCTGGAAGACTTATTTATCACCGATGAGGTAACAGAAATTGCTGATGGAGAGCAAGTGGAATTGATTGTGACCATCGATGAACAAGAATACAATAAGGCCCGAAAAGAGTTAAGCATGGAAGCACAAAGAGGTGATTAAAGAACTTTTATCAGTTCAATTTATTCTCAAATACTTTCTGCTAGCTGCAGGTACTCAGGATTTAGGATATGAAGGTCTGAATGGAAAATGGGGGAGGGTCCATATGGCGTTTGTACATTCAAATTCTCGGTCTTTGTTTGTTAAAATGCAAATTAACTATTTCAAGAGAGAATTATTCTCTGTTAATTACTTTCATTCTTTATTTACGTCACTTACACAGTTTAAATTCTACACAAAGTGTATAACTTGAAATAATTCATTATTTAGGACCTTGTTACTGACTTGAATAGTCTGCCATCTGACTATTTAACAACAGATTCAACCGCAACTTTTAAGGCTACCGTCTCTGACTACATTTTTTTCCCTGTAAATGCTTGTCCCTTCCTATTTATTGTATTTCTATTTTTGTTATCAGTAGTAGCACTTTATTTATAGTCAAGGAGCTTGTGACTATATCTATAAAAGACTTTGCAAGGTAAATTATGTAAAATAATGTAACATGTTAATTTTTACCGAAAACTACCGTTTACAAACCGTGGCTTCTACATCTTCGTAAGGGGTTTGGGGGTTTAACAAAAAAGGGTGCCAACTTTCCTCACTTGCAGCCAGTGGCTGAATTGCGGAGGAATTAGAGTGGTGAGACCGGACGTCAGCATGTAAAGGCGCATTCTTGTAGCCACTTCAGTCCATGTTTTGATCACACCTCGCCCACCCAGACCGATGGCGGCACAAGTCAGATAGACCATGACATCGGGGCCTACGTCCCGTTCTCTTTTCAAGCAATGCCACGAGTTCTTTACGTCCCCTTCCAACTGAAGTACAAGGATGAAGAAGACAAGGCCAATGGCTTAACGTCACCGCCCAATGACCTTGGTTTGATGGTATGGCCGGGGTTTGAACTCACGACCTCCCGCTCAGTAGACGAATTCATTTTAATACATTTGGAGGGGGCTTTTATCCGGGGGGCTCTTATTCGGATACATATATTTTTTGTTTACAGGTAGATGGACCTACGACTGGGGCGGGGGTCTTATATGGGGCCTACATTTTCATTTTTGATTTGATTTTCCCTCTACTTTCATTTCCATTTCATTTGCACTTAGTTGAATTTTATTGTGTCGGAAGGTCCTGCTGATGAGAGAGAGGAGTGGCAGGAGAAACTTGCTTACATTCAGAGTTATTTAGAGCAATCCAAGGACGGTGATTCACACAGCGTCACAACCGAAACAAGCGACAGTGGAATGGCGGAATCACGCGTTGCGCCATCTGAGCCTGGAATGGAAGAAACCAGCGGTAAGATACTCTTTATATGAATAAACTTTTCGGTCAAAACATTTATCTTGGACAATCGGAACAACGAATTTTTTCAGTTTTATATTTTTATCAGAAACCTGGTTCCTTTTCAAGCGTCTGTTAAAAAACAAAACACCCGTGAGGCACGTCATTTGACCATCATGATCCCCACTATACAGACTCGTAGTAAATTGTTTTCAGTTAGTTTTGACAGTTAATAGGATCGACAAAATTGCTTCTTGCATTTTCAGCTCTTTTGTTCATTTTCCTAGATTCCATTTTCAATCTTTGTTTGAAAGATGTGAGTAAAGCAGTGACATCTGAACTGACATGCAGACTTCGAACTGACCCGTTTGCTCTACAGCAATTTTATCAATCATTTGGGCTTGATCCTGTGAAATTGCTTCCCGAAAGCCTTGAAGAATTCTTCCCCGACACCCCAATCAAGCTGTTAAGAGACGTGTTTGATGAGCTGCAGTTATATGACCTTGTAGAGTTGCTGGAAAAAGTAAAACCACGCACACTTCGTCCTGTCTTCCCCCTTAAAGAGATCAGAAAGGCTCTAAATGCCACAAATCGCCCAACAAAGTTTTACAGCAAAGCAGAGGTTTTGATTATAAAGTTCTCTGAAAGTGTTGCTGCAGATTACAATGTGTTGAGTTTTAGATCGTTTCTTAAAGCCTTAAATCCAGAGAGTAACATAACTACAGTTACTTCAGGGAATTTGGCTGAAAGGTTAGGAACCTTAAAGGAAACAAAGAAGATGGTGGAAGACGAAGACCGGAGAGCAAGCTCGAAAGAAACGAAGTTAAAGGAACTTTTAGACAAAAGGGTGCCATTTAGCTGGTATAAGCACAAAAGCCCAGAGCTGACGTTGTCAGTCGCCCGCAACAGCAATGAGTACCTATTGAAAGTGTTCTACAAAGAGGAGCAGGAAATGAGAAAAGAACTAGAAAATGTGATAAAACAGAGAGAGCAGTGGACGCAAGTGATAAAACCTAAGATCGAGAGAGAGATAAAACAAAATGAGGAGGAACTACAAGGAGAGAATGAGAAATTCCAAATGGCTGTTTGTGACGTCATGGACAAATGGATTTGCCAAGCGAGCGATGAAGGTTTGTTTAGCAGTAAGAGAGTGTTTGGCTCTATACGTGTTTTTCAGAAGTGACTCCTCGTCTGGTTCTTTGCTGTTTTCCGGGAAGAGCATGCGCACGAAACTCCCTAGTCCTGATGGGCACTATCGCGCCAATATTGCCACTGTATACTATTTCTCTAGGCCCCCTCTATCACAAAATCTTGCGTCCACCCCTGACAATCACCTTTCGCCTGAAGGACGCTTTACTTTTATGAACAACCCGATAGTACGGATAACAGCTAAATTCCAATACATTATTACGGACTCTCGCTGTTATGAACCCTGGCTGCTGTCACATCTGCGACGTAACTGAAGTTTAACTTAAGTTAGTGTCAAGTTACGTGATGTCATACCTAACTGTAGTTAGTGCTTTCGGTCGACATTGCGGTCACACCACGCAGTTAACAACAGTTAGTTCTAATTAGCCTATGTAAATTTTTTGTTTGTTGTTTTTGGTTTCTCCCTCGCTTCACGCTTGGTTTTTATTTTGCATATTTATATATACTCATCTCGCACGTGCGAAAAGAAGTGTCACATTCTGATTGGTTGTTTGTTTGCAAACTTAAGACTAAGACCCTGTTTACATGGAGTGGGGGACCCCGGTCTAGTGGGGTAAGTTTCTTTTGTTTTGTGTCCCCCAGAGCGTGAAAACAAAAGAAACTTATCACACTAGACCGGGGTCCCCCACTCCATGTAAACAGGGTCTAACTCACCAACCCTGCTTGGGTATAACTATAGTTAGTCTGTATTGTTTTGGATCACCGAGGCGTAAATTTTCTAACTATAGTCAGAGCGAACAGAGAAGCGGTCACATCACCGAAATAGCTAACTATAGTTATCCCCATCTTAACTATAGTTAGTAGTCCAGATGTGACCGCAGCCACTATCTCATGGTGTTGAGGTCGTCCGCATAGAAAGAGTTGTACACGTACTTCCATACAAAGATCTTGAACCCGGAAGGCCGCAGTTGACTTTCCTCTACCCCCACTTGAGAAATTGGTGCTGAAAACAGTTCTTAAAAACACCTAGAGCGCGTTTGTTTCTCTTGTTTCATTGAGTAAAGTGACTTCAAATTAACCAATCTTACAAAAATGTAAGAAAAATGGACCGTTTTAACATTCTACTACCTACATATTTTTCCTCCTTAAGATATGTTTTTCGTGTAGCCATTACGTCACACGATGATAGCTGTCGTAGCCTGTTCCATGCTCCAAGATAGTGATGTAGGGTCAATTTTAATAAAGAGTTCTTCCAGTTTAAGCATTTTCAAGTCGCCAAGAACACTTTAATGGATCATGGACAACAACAAATCACAGCGCGCGTAGCGTTCTAGTTCCAATATCGTCGCCTATCATTAAAATATTACTGTACTTACTTAGGAGGTGAAAAACAACAATTCTTAATCTCACAATCCTGCTCTTGAATTTGTTTCACGCAAAGAAAGCATTTCAGGCTTCCAGAAATTTGGTACCTACAGCAGCGCGAATTTGTTGCCATCATCGATTATGGTTGAATAGCGTAATTTACTAACACTAATACTCGTGTCCTCATTAAGGCTGTCTATCAGCGCACTCGAAAACTTTAACCTGGTCCATTTCATTTCTTTGTAGGTGAGGAATCAACCTTGTATGTCGTGCTTTTTATGGAGAATTTAACTATCAGATATGATGAAGTTAGAGAATTGCTGAAGAGGACACGTGGATGTCTGAGAGAAAAATTCGCATCCATTCCAAACACAAAGCTAATAATCAGTTCCAATACCTGGTCAAGTTGGGGCGATGGAAATATTCCCCAGGAAACTCTTGAAGTACGCCTTGGTGAGAGTGAAAGAGACTTAATCCTAGGCTTGATAGTGGAACTACTTGACAATCGCTGGCAGACATTGGACCTAATTTCGGTGTTCCGAGAAGTACAAAGGACTGTATCTATCAAGAAGACTTCCCAGCATCAACATTTTAACGGAAGGTTTTTCTGGTCTGATAGTCGTACATATTTTGATATTTTTGAAAATTTGTCTTGTCTTCCAAAACTTCAGAAGACGGAACAGGTCTCGAAGAAGTAATTATCAAGCACTCCACCAGCTCACCCCTACCCCCTTTCCCGCCTTTAGCTCCCTCGTCGCCCACCTCTTCTCTCTTATGGTAAAGGACCCATACTGAGCCATGCCGTCACCAGCTCCATGCAATAAAATGAGTAGAATTAGCAGCAACATAGCTCTCTCCTTGTCTTAATTTTGAGTTTAAGGCAAACAAGTAGGGAGCGCAGCTAGTAACAGAAGCTATTTGGAGTGACAGTTATTTGTAACATATGCGCACAACAAGAAAGTTTATTTAATTCAAATAGATTTTAGTCTGTCCGCGAAAGCAACAAGCAGTCTCAACGAACACTGGCAATTCCCTGTTTTTATGTGTTGAAAAATTTCTAACGGGGATGTAAGTTCAGTTAGTTCTCAAGGGGTCCACAGAGATCAATAAGGAGGTCACTGACCTCCAAGGTGACTACATAGTAGTTATTTACTGCGACTTTTTGCCAATAGTAAATTCATGTAACCAAGTTGTTCTCAAATTTGTTTCCTATTTTAAAAAGACTGGAGACAAAAAAAACCGATGGTCGGGTTTACATCTGTTCTTCTTAAGAATTTTACTTTATAACTCATGCACAGGGCATATCTATTTTTTTACTTTTTCCAAAACTACAATCTGTAAATATCTAGTTGAAATTATCCGTGCGACCATAGAAGATATGGAGTAGTTTCTCTGTGGTATTGTTAATTGTGCTGTACGAGTAATCTAGTTAGCTAAAAGTAGATATCATTCGTTCATTTTAGGGACCATGGAACTGAGCATAATTACAGGTACCAATTCGTATTTTTCTGTAGTTATGAATTTGTGTTAATTTTTTAATGCTTTGTAAATAAAATCTGAGAATTTTTCAAGTTTTTCTTTTCTTGTTGAGGTTTCGACCTTGTTCCTCTGACTGAATGGGTTTATTTCGCATTACTGGTGAAGAACGACATGTAAAAATTGGGAACAGATCCTTCATGACGATATTTCTTGACGATATCTTAAGCCTTAAATCTACGTCAAATTAAGGAGGAGAATACCTGCAAGCGTTAAAAATAAAACGTCAAAAGATGTTGCTTTTAAGTGCAAGAAAAAAAAATCACCTTGTGTGAAGCGCGAAAAGGTATATCGGGTTCTAAGGGCGGGAAGATTTGAATGCGTGGGAAAATGCACCCGAATCAACTTTAGTTTTCAATCAAAATGGCTTTTTGCCCGTAAGTTAACATTGCGATATGGCAAACACTGCAAACTAACGCTAATTTACAGTAACAGTAATAGTGGAAAGTTTTGTACCAACCAAAGCAAAAGATAAGGACTCAGATAGGGAGGCTAGTTGTTACAAGCCCCGCAGAGCGGCATGTGTAAAGCCAAGGCGCAAAATACGAAGTAAGGGGGTGACAGATGTTTAAATTAAAGACAACGAGCAAATATTCTTAATTCAACATACACATCAGCGTATAGCTAGTCACCCTAGCGTGTTGCAGTGTGGATGAAAATACTTGTCACGTGACTTTTTCGCGCGCAAACTCCAGTTCGAGGCCACTACTAACCCTAACTGTTGAACTGCTAACTCACTGGAAGGTCAAAGTACCAATACTTATTTTTTAATCCCAAGAAAGCCCCTTAGTTATAGTCTAGCTGGGCCTTACATTTTCTGGGAGAGTCAAATATTTAGGTCACGTGATGCAAATCGCTCCCATACTATATCAGAGATAAGCAAAATTACGCACAACTTCACGGCAACTAGGGTGTCATTTCCAAATAACCTCTTTTTTTCCTTCTCTACGAATTATCCGTTATGAGTTGAGGAATACCTTCTCTACGGTTATAGGAGCCTGTATGGAGGCACTCAAGATGACGAAAGTAGTGAGAAAACGACGAAGCCCGAAAACGCACCATTTTCGTTCACACGTAGTCTGCTTGTCACGTCCTGTCGAGCTCTTATAATTGGCAACTAGAACCAACCGAGACTAGTACTAGAAATCATGCCTCGAGGTGAGGTAACTAAAATGTATTTTCCCCATTTCTTAAAGTACGTTTAAAAGAATCTAAAAAACACGATGAAAGAAGTTGCAAGGTGAAAACAGGAGAATACTTTCAAAATACAGTGCATGACTAAAGACAACTTCAAAACACTCATAAGTCATTTTCTAGTCTACGCCTACGACATATATTAGGGACCATACGATTCGACGACTCCGACGTCCATGAAAACGTCACTGAAAAATAGACTCTGCATCCTTTCAAACCGTTTCGCGATTTTCCCAAGTCGCCCCGCTACGTAAAAGAAGGGAATTTAGGTTGGAACTGAAGAGCGAAGGCTGCGCCGTGAGTTCAGACAGAGATGGTAGAATTCATCGCCTTGCTGTTGCAGTCCTCAAAAAAACTTAAAATTTGGTCATTTCACGTCGTAGTTGTGCAGGGAAGGAAAAGAAATGTACAAAAAAGCGTAAACCCATTGCTTTTTGACGCTGCTGTTGCCGTTACCGTCGTAGTTTCGTAAGGTCCCTATTGATGGTGGTCTGCCGCACCATCCTGCGGCTTACTACCCTACCGTCCACCAATGGGCCACCAACAGGACACCTTAAAGAATGACCAATTATCTTTTGACAAACGCGGGCTGGCAAAATCGCACAAGAGCTGACCAACATGATTGAAGTCATTGAATAATGTAGGCTTTATGAATAATATCACGGTATAATTCATGGTTGTAGTCCAGCGTGTCCGTTAAAAACTTTACAATTAAAAAGTAAAAAAGAGACAGAACCGATGTACCTGAATGTGGACCTGATATGGATGCGGTATAGCCCGCCTCTCGAGTGATGAATATAAATAACAACGGTGTCTTTCTCGCGAAAACTGTCCCACATTCTGATTGAAATCAAACTTAATCAGCAACTCGCTCAACCTGAACAGCGGTCGACTTTGCAATGAGAGTTCGTTACCAAGTCGCGAGATGGTACGGCTCTAAAACCAGAGAGATGTTTTAACGTTGACTTTAGAGAAGCGATGTCAGCTGGAGAGCATGCGCGCTAAGGTTATGCAAATTACTTTCAACTGTCAAAACTCTATTGTTTTTAACGCGTGACTTTCTGATGACGAGCGATATTGGGTTTGGATAAGGGATATTTTCATAGAATTTACGGAACGTTTCCTTTCTGGTTATGCTACATCAAGTTCCCTCAATTTCTTCGTAAAAAAAACTTTGCTTGCCGAATCGTCAGCGGTGCGAGAAAATAGCATCCTGTAACACCCCTCTTAAAAAGCCTGTCTTGGTTGCCTGTTAAGGACCAACTGTACTATCGCCAAACTATTTTGGCCTTCAAATGCATGACCGGTCACGCCTGAATATCTTACACCTTAATATCTTACATCCCAATTTATTACCCGTGAACAAGTTAGCGAACGAACAACTCGGAGTAGCCAAAAGCTAAACATCCCTCTCTTCAGAACTGCCTCCGGACAGAGAACCTTTTATTACAGGACCATCAAGCTTTGGAACAATTTGGAATCTTTTCTTAAGTTAAGCTTATCTGTTAAAATTTTAAACATTCCTTGAGGAGCCAGCTTTTAGATAATTTTGTAAATACTTTTTACTCAGTTAAGTTTAAGTTTAAAGTGTTAAGACGATTTTCTTGTAGTTTTCAAGTGAAAACGAATGTCATTGATAATAGAGCGCAAACAAAAATTAAACGACAACAAAATATATCAAAGTTTTGATTTATAAACGACCAACAAAAGACTCCTAGACCAAAGATAAAGACCAAGAGTGTTTCAAATCATTTACAGTTAGACTTGTCTGTCCCTACTGATTTTATAATCTAGATGCTGACCGAACAAAAGAGACGCTGTTTTTTTTGTCTTTGTTTTGATCTTAAGGAAACACACATTGATCGTGCAAAATTGTTCGATCGTGCCGAATCACTGCGACGTCCAGAGAAACAGAACCAAGTATCATTGGTATACTACTTCATTGTAAGCAGTCTGTGAATAAAAAAAAAAGTAAAGTCTGCTATTTTCCACTGAAAATATGTTCGAACACAAACAGTTCAAAACCATGGCATTTACAGGATCTAACTCGTACTGATGCCTCTCTAAATCCGTTGAGAACAACCTGGACAAACAAACGGTCATGTTTGTCGTTGCAGTAAATCAAGATAAATACAAGAAGGAATCTAGCCCAATTCTATAACGTTTCCTTCGCTAGGAGTTCAGTTTCGTCACGAAACTCACGGCCATGCTGTTGTAATCGTTAATGAAAAACAGCCGCCGCCAACTCAATAGGTGCTTCATTATATACATGTCCACATACTTTGAGCACACACACAAAAAAAATCCAAGAGCCAGCAGCCTCTAAAACAACTCAATAGAAAGGTTCTGTGAACTATAAGGAAGATTCCATTTAACATTCCATCACTCATTGTGAAGTAGCCGTCGTTGATTCTCTGCCAATACAACGCCCGTTGATAAGAGGACACTGTAAATCTACGTAAAAAAATTCCAAGGGAAACAATTTCAAAAATAACGCACACAAATTCTTCTGTAATCACCATAGAATGATTCTCAATACAAAACTTCGCTAACTGTCAAACGATGGCTGAGATTTTAAATCTTAAAACAGATAAAAACAGCCTTCCACAATCTCCGACAAAACTTGAAAAAGTCGGGTTGACGTTTTCAATTAAGTTTGTTTTCATCGGCTCGCGCATGCGCCAGTGGTCACATAGCCCGCCCAGGATCATTCTCTTCCCCAGAGCCCGTCGTTTCTTGGTCACGTGGTAGGGAAACGAGGGGCTCTGGAAGCAGCCGTTACCGGATGTCAGGAAATTTCTGACATCCGGTCGCGCATAAGCAGAAGTTACAAATATCACTGCTCATGCTCATAACAGATTTTTGTCCTTCACCGCTCCACTGGGGGAAAAATTTTACTTCTTGAGCTCTCTCCAGAGAGTAGCTCCGTTGGGCTGTTTTGAAAATGCACCACTTCACTCAACTTGGATTCACTGATAATTAGGAGTTAAAAGAAGAAGACAGTAACAGAAACCGGCTGAACACACTGTTGGTTTGCACAACTGAGACAATTAATCGGCAGACTATCGTCTGAGTTATGTGATTTTTTTTTTCAATACTTTTGGCGAACAAACACTGGGAAAGCAATATCGCGAAGATTGATATGACGCGGGAAAAAGTCAATCTAAAAAGGTATCTTGTTCTATGTCCTGCAACAGCTATGGTACTTCAAAACACTTTTTGAAACGAAACGATTCATGTGTTGTGTTAGGAGAGTAAAATATCTATTTCATTTCACTCGAGGTGGTTGTGTTTTTTCCTATGTTTATTTCCTTTTGTGGTTTCGCATGTCGCGGTTTTAATTTTGCCCATGAGCTTTTGTGTACAACACGTGTTTGACAACCGAAGGATTTACGTCGAAACAAATCAAATATTAATCATTTTACCGACCCAGGGTAAAAAACATATATTACAAGGTTTGTCCAGGAGAAGTGACTGTCTAATACACCTCCATGGGCTTTCATGCATGGCAACTTTATACAGTATACTGAGTGAATCAAATTCCGGTTTAGTTTTCTCTGTATATCAACCCAAACTGAAACTTGAACCCCAGTTTCCTAGCCCTAATCGTAAACCTTCTGGGTCATTTGGTGTTTATGGGGGCCATTCAGTGTTCTGCTAAAAGGGTTTATCCTCCTAAAGATTTCAGGTATCATCTCCTAACTAAAGATCATCATCAGTACCACAAAGAGAGAAGAGTTTTCAATAATTTTGAATTTTGAATTTCAGAAAATCATTAATACCTGAAAAATGTTGATTGTGTAGTGACCAATCACCATAATGTTCAGTACACATGCATGACCAAACCTCAGAACCACAAAGTAATTACCATTGTTGTGGGAGGTTTTGTTTTCTCACCCCTTATTAGCTTTTTCTTTGCAACGCAATAGCATTCCTTAATATTTGTGGTATTCATGGTTTTGTAACTTTCACAGTATAGGTGTGCTCTTGTCACCTCTGTTGTAGGGGTATAAACAGTTATATGTACTTTTGGTTACCAGTTACTAATAAGTGTTTCCCAGGACATTAGTTTAGTAGGAAGTGATGGTAATTATGCAAATGCATCCAGAGAGAAACCTATTTAAGTACCACTTATGAGCTCATGGGTTACACATCTTTCGAAGGGGTTTTAAGGTTATTTGTTTTCTCAGGGGAGGGCTTATAACCAGAGAGACATTTTTTATTGTTTACTGGTAAATGGGCCTATAACTGAGGGGTTTATATGTGGGGGGAGGAGGCTTAAAAGCAGTAGTTTATGGTAACCTGTCCCAGCCATTCAGGCATTGAGGAATGCACAAAAAGAAAAAAAAAGAAAAAACCCTGCGTTTTTTACCGCTCTACTTTTCACCATCTGAATGGCTAGAGCAGTTTATCATAAGCTATGTAGCTGTCCTTTCTTATCTGGAACAATGAAATGTAGACTGATATACACACTGTACATTGACTGTATGGTTTAAGAGATCCCCTCTAAGAAGTACACTTTGAGTAACACACAACCCGAAAGCATTTTCTTAGGTAGCTTCTCTCATCATGTTTTGAGAGTGGAGTGCAAGACCTGGTTTGAAATTGGGGATAGAATTTTGGATCAGGCCAGAAATAGGATAGTGAAAATCACATAGGTTGTTCAAAATTTGGCATTGCAAGAAACATACTGCAGGGCTAACCTGAACTGATTTTTTGGGGGTGGTGCCCCACCCTCTGCAGTTGTATTGAAACTGAATGTGGTGCTTTATACAGTTAAAATACAATATCTGCTCACAGCTTTTGATAAAGTATAATTGTTTAGTTCCCATAAAATTCATTATTTTGTGTTATAACATGAGGGTTTCCAACTAAGAAAAATTTTTTACCAGAAATGAATCAATGACTCGTGGAAGCAAGTTTTAAATTGGCTCATCATTATTTGTCAATAACCCAGTAAACTAAGATGCCCTGTACCTCAGTAAGCCAATGCTGTGTGCAAGGCTCAAGGCGGGGTGGAGAGCAGGTGTGGTTAGGATTAGCGAGTAAACTGTTCATATTACTGTTGCTCAAGCTATTATGTTACCCACCCTATTAAAGGTGACATACTGCAAAAACCAGTTGTTATCATCAACAACCACTTGTTCCAGTATAGCGCAAAGTAGACTCCCTTAGGATGTTCTTCATTTATTATTTTAAATATCAACACCTCAGTTGTCCATAACATTGTCAATAAATCTAGACCAGTTTTGTTTTTCAAACATTTTTAACTGTTTTTTACAAACAGATTTAACTGCACTGTTTTACAACTTAAAAGTTTTCTCTAAAACCAAAATGTTGAGAGCCTTGTGCTACCTTATGTAGTGATGAGTTAAATAACATATCAATTTAAATTATTTATCTGGAAAAATTGTGCAAATTATAGCTGCTTCTTTGCTGTTCATCAGTTATAAACAATCCCAGAGCCCCTTGTTCATCTTTCCCTGAATGCTACATGACTGGAAGCCAAGCAAGGACAGTTAGGATGAGAATATTTTCTTGCATAACACTTGTAACAAGTCGGCCACAGAGCCTTTCCTTCCACAGCCCAATTCTTACTGTTAAAATAAAAATTAAAAGAAGGCCTCCGAATTATCTAAGCATAATTTAAGCATTAATTAAGTGGAAGAAGACGTAGATTGGAAAGAGTACTTGCTCTATCAACTTTACACAATTAAAAAATTGCCTCTTGCATGCAGCCCAAAATGATTCATAAGCAATTCAGTTCTGGCTTTGTGCACTGCCATCAGTGATCTAATGAAATAAAGGCATATAACAAAATATTATCTTGACCTTAGTATAGCAAAAGAGATGTTCTTTCAGCAGAAAATACGATAAATTAAAAGCACACTGCAATAAACTTAACGTACATATCATTTCTGTAATGTAATCGGAGTTTGATTTCCTTTCCCACTGAAGTACCGATGAATATCCAGAGGAATTAGAAAAACTGATTAGGCTAATTAATAACGCCATACAAGTACAGTATCAATCGCTTGATTTTTAACGAGCAAGGAGCAACAGGAAGAGCTAACTAACCATTACTCCCCCTTTCAGTTTGCCCAGGAGATGCGACGGTCGAGACAGGGGCAAAGTTTAGCGCACAATGAAGGCAATACTTTCTTTGTCACGGCTCGTTATCTTCGCAGAATCGAGCAGAAACTTCTCAAACTTTACCTGCAATTCTCTTCTTCACTGCTATTGCATATAAACAAAACAGGATTGTCGCAATCAACGAAACTCAGACGCGGAGTTTATGTCCGCAGGTCGAGAGGGCACAAAGTAAAATGTTATCCGCAGTAGATTACATTTTTAATTTGCTTTGCGCATTCAATTGCCTTCAGCCAATGAAAAAATTCGTATTTTCCGTTGCGTCCAGAGCCACTGGTCGGTTACAAATTAAGCCGAGTGGCTCTGGGGACGAGAATGGCCCAGGATTAACTCAGTCGGCAGAGCGCTTCACTGCAGAGCGGCAGGTTCGATTCCCAGGGCCGGACTGATACTCTTCTCAGGGTCGTTAAATCACTGAGAAATTAAGATCTCACCTGCCCCGCAAATATTCCACCTTACTGTGGCTTTGATGACTTCGTAAAATGGCGGTCCCGTCGCCATAAGCGCACGTTAAATTTAGTGCCATTAATGAGGACGTTCGTGCTAAATACATTGACACTCAAATAAAGTGCTTTTTTCTGTTTGTCTTTGTTTTACGAGCCTAAGGGCCTTTAAGAACCTTGTTTCCAGGATTAACGAGGTAGAGAGCTAGAGACCCTGGAAACGAGTTTGAAGTTCGCGTGACTTATAAACGCTTAATTACAATACAAACCAACACAAAATCCATCCTTTCGTGATTTCCTACGTAGCTTGGGTTGGCTTACACAGTAACTCCTTTTGACAGGAGTAAATGTTAACTAAGAAGCAGAGAACTGAACTAAACCCTTCATCACGATGCCAGAGATTGAATACAACAACTTACTCTACCAAATAAGCAAGAGACTTGACGAGCTGGATGTAGGTGAACAGTTACTTGTTATGTGCAGAGGAAAGGTGGCAGCTCGCAGCGGCGAAGACTTTCAAAGCTTCTCGTTGTTTGAGGAATTAGAACAGAAAGGATTTCTGAGTCCCAATCATTTGGTTTTATTAAAAGGCATGTTGAAAGGAGTCAACGAATGGGCTCTTTTTGAGGAAGTTGAAAAGTTTGAGACCAAAAGAAAGGAATACAACAACTTGCTTGAGGAAATCATTCGAGTGCTCGACGAGCTAAATGATCTGGAACGAATCGTCTCGATTTGCGGAGGAAAGATAGCGGAGGAAAGGCAAGGCAACGTTATTAATGTACGATCATTGTTTAAGGAGCTAGAAGAGAACGACTGGCTAGGAATTGACTGCCTCGACACTCTAAAGGAGATTTTGACCCTGACGGAGAAAAGTGATCTGCTCAAGGAAGTAGAAGAATTCGAGCAACGACGAAGTCGTGAAAACAAGTTTAGAAAACGCAAAGGTAATTCTACATGTCTGCGGCTCATATTTCTAGCCGTGCTTAGTCCCAGAATTGATTAGCACATTTGTCTTACTTAACTCTTTTTTATTTCAGCACAAGCAGCTTCTCTTGTGTCATCAGTTAGCGACAAATTGTCTGGAGGTAAGTTTATTTTCGTATTTGTGTATGTGCTTCTAAGGCCCGGTTCAGACGCCGAACTTTTCATGAGCAGAACCTAATACATTGAATTAAGTACATGGAAAGTTCGGCGTCTGAATCAGTTAGGAACGCCTGTTTCAATTTGGAACGGCTCAGCCGTTCTTTTCGCCTAGCCCGGTCGGGAATTTCGCCTTTGGAGCGACTTTGGAACGGCTTTGATTCAGACGCCGAACTTTTCATGTACTGAACCTAATGCATAAGTTATCATAACGTATTTTGTAAGCAGTTTGTCCGAAATGAGCATTTTCCGCCTCATCAATTCAGCCGATCTTAATAATTTGGGTCGGCCTTAATTCGAATTAGGTTCGGCTCATGAAAAGTTCGGCGTCTGAACCGGGCCTTAAAGACTGAGTTTACTCATATTCATGTTCGACTTATAAATTAACGTCGAGTCACGAGAAAATCTAAAGTACACACTTTAGCCAAGAATTGATTTTGATTATTTTCTTCAATTCCCTTATTATACTTTTATCCACACTTACTTTCTGAAAGCTGTGCCAGTGGCGGGTTCTTGCGCTTCAAACTAACCATCTTTAAAACAAGCATCAAGGCTCGGCCTCTGATTAACAAGACAGAATGAAACGGGGAGAGATATCTACGGGAATAGCCTTAAGTTCGCATTAAGGAAATAGAAATCTCCTGCCCAACAACCTGGCAATAGGGAAATACATCTTACCTGCTTTTGTTGAATTTGGAGGTTAACTACGGGAAAATAATTTTGCGGAGCTGTAGCACTATTCTGTTCATAGTCGACCATAGAAATCATTAGTCTGAAGGATGCGAGGTCTTGCAATTAATGAACTAAAGCTTCACTCCTAAGGAATGTACTGAAAAAAAAATTGAGGGCGTTACATGCGCTAGAACACCTAGAACCACTTTTTAAAATTTTCTATACATTTGTCTGTAAGAAAGTCCCGGGAAAAATTACAGAAAAATATATGGAAAATCTAAAGCAATCCCCTGGAGAAATTTAAGTACAGGTACGCCCCCTAAATTTTTTTAGTACTATCCTTTGTTTTCTGCCTTTCGTTTACAACTGATATTTTTTTCAGCACAGCCGTTTTACGGAAATTGTTCGACATTAGATTCTCATACAAACACTGTAATTTCTCACACGTTTGCCTACTCGTCAAGCTGGCGTCGAAAACCGTGACAAGCTCTGTTAAGGCGATTATGAAACAATATGGCCCAATTACCTTGCAACAGCGTGTTGACACTTAACTGTTCAACAGGGAAATACATCTTACCACCTGCTTTGGTTGAATTTGGACGTTAACTACGGAAAAATAATTTTAAGGAGTTCTAGCACTTTTCTGTTCATAGTCGACCTTAGAAATCATTAGTCTAGAGGATGCGAAGTCTCGCAAGCAATGAAGTGCATCGTATCTTAAAGTAGCATATTAATTAGCTAAAAGATTATTCTTAGTTTAGAACCACGTGACAAGGCGGAAAATTTTGTCGCAGAATATGCAAAAAGAAATATTTAAACTACGGAAGACAAGGTTTCAAAACCTAGGATAAAAAAGTTATTAGCATACACAAGTTTTCGATGCCATCACAAAATTTTTATTAAGCGATAAAATTGGACGTTTAGTAACATTGGTTTATGAATCACATGACAAAAACGTCAAAGAAATAGTTGAAAGTCCCCAGCGTGAAAAACGTATTTTGTTCTTAAACCTAAGAAAAATATCAAGCTTTTCGCGAGACGAACCAAATTTAGTGAGTTAAGTTCAAGTTCGCCTGCTGGATCGTCGAACACGTTCTATCCGTCTGCTTCAGAGGCGGATAGAACGTCTGAAGATCGTCTCCAGGACAAACGTCGATCTTCACACGCGACTAACTAAACTAAAAAATTAAAAAATTCGTTTCATAATGTAATACTTGGCCTCGTCCAGGAGATAATTTGGATCATTATACGTTTCTGGGAAACTGACCACATACCCCTACCCTAAGCCAACATTTTGCCATAAGTGAGAAGTAAGTGTTAATGTTGCGCATGCCTTAGGGTCGGGTTTCCCAAAAACGTCTTGTGATCCGAAATTTTTTTTAAAACTGCTTTTTGGTCTGATGACGTTGATTGGTTCGACTTTAAAATATTCATGAAAGAATTTACTATTGGGCGGGGACAATTAAACTGCATATAAAGGGTAATATACTTCAGGGCAAAAAGAAAATAACGACTGAATTTCATAAGACCACCATTTTCTTCCGAAAACTGGAACTCTCTTGGACAGTGAGAATCACTTCTTTTCATGAATACTGCCCATATTACTGAGGTCAAACTTTGGGCGGACATTCTGTCAGAAACGTCAGAGAAGTCCCAGAAATTAGCGGGGATTGTCCGATATTCTAATATCTGCGAGAGATCACTTAATATAGCGAACGAAGCAGGCGCTCAGCAGGGATAGGAAAGAGGGACATCGAGCGTGCAAGAACTCAAACGCCTTCTACCTTTTCGCTTTTCGTGCGCTTGGTTTTTGCCTCTTCTCTTTCTCTGTCACATGATACCTACCCTTCGTGATCGCCTTTTCTCTCTCCCACCCCAAAGATCTCTTAATCTTGAGGAAGCCAACGTGATAATAATTCTGTTGTTTGCATTTTAGTCCTGAACATCAAGACTGTGTTCAAAGTCGTGGGCGGCATTACAATAGCTTCCACCTTATCACTGTTGACACGTGACTGTACTTATGATCAGCTCACGAACGCCATTAACACCTGTGTGCTTCCTGCTGGGGCCAATCTGATTCAAATTTCAGAGGGATGTGTGTGTCTCAAAGTTCAAGTTAAGAATCTATCAGCTCTCGAGGATTTGTGGCGTTTGTACAAAGTTGGTACACTAAGAGCAAGTCTACAAGCTTTATTTGTTACTGACGAAATGAAAGAGCTTGCTGGTGGAAAGCAAGTGGAAGTGGATGTGACCATCGACGAAGAAGAAAACGAGAAAGCTCGGAACGAGCTATCAACTTTCAGAGAACAAGGTTATAAAAGCACACTAAACGTTATACAGGAAACATAGTTACGTATTTCAATTTGACTTTACTGCTACCTTGTAGCACTAGCCATTCAAAAGTTCTGTTAAATAGACCCTTGAAAACCGCAGATTCTTCGGAGCATGGGACGCACTGGAACAGAAAAAGTTAAGTACTCTCATCATTTAAAATGGTAACTTTTTTTGTTGACCTCTCTCGGTGCGTCTCTTGCTGTACAGTATGGAGGTTTTGTACCACGTGAATGACAAGAAAATTCCTCCGAGCTCGGCAGTTTGGCAACCCAATATGGCGGTGTTTCACCTAACAACGTTTGATACTTTGGGAAGGAAACCATAAGCCCCTGCTTTAGGCTAAATCGTACTGACCTTAAAAGCGAATCTTAAGCCCTAAAACGTTTCATTTACATTCTCACTTTCATGATAATTATTAGAGCTTTAATTTTACGATCATTGTCAGTGACATCTGAATTTTTGATACCACAGTTTTGAGTTTAGATGAACCTGATGGCCAGGAAGAGAGGCAACTTCAATACCTAGATCAGGAAAAATTATCGTACATTACGAATTACTTAGAGCAAACGAGGGATACAGATGTACATAGTTTATCTACAGAGGACGACAGTGGAAAGCCAGGATCAAATAGTGCACCATCGGAATTTGGATTTGACGAAACCAGCGGTATGAATCAGTCAATTCCAAGAGTACCCAACCCAAACCCCCAGAGCATTTGTCAACTTGCGCGATGGACATTTGTCATCAAGGGTATGCCCAGGGATGTTACATCGGGGTCAGTTAGTGGTTTATTCAAGCGAGCAAAGACGCAGGCGCAGAGGGAAAACAGAGTTTATTTAAAGAGCGTGTGCGAAATCGGCAGGATGACACGCTAAAAACCCGGATTACGCCTTAGTCTTCAAGTCTGTTTAGTAAGAAACGAAATATATACATTTTATCTGTGTCTCTAATATTTTCTGACAGTCCCATGGATTCACACTCCTGAAAACAATTCATACTAGTGTCATCGTCCGTTCCGTTTCAATTGATAGCAGTTTATGCTATTTATTTTACTGCGCTTTTCACTAACATGCGAATTCTGAAGTTCAGAAGCCATCACTGATGATTGCGTTTTTCGCTGCCGTCAATCATCTTAACGGACCTCCTAGGAAACAAATCTTTACTTTAACGGGTTCAAAAGGTCATGGTTTGTGATTTGTGGATTTCGATCCGTTTTGTGTGTTTCTGTGTTTCGTGGTTCGTTGCTTGTGATAGTATTTATGATTTACGGCAGCGAAAAACGCAATTGTGAAGGCAGCTTTTGAACTTTGGTGTTCGCATGTTTGTGAAAAGCGGAGTAAGTCAACATTTGTTAATTTCAGATTTCGTTTTTGCCTTGTATTTGTAGATTCCACCCCTAAACTGTTCTTGAAAGATCTGAGTAAAGAAGTGACTGAGGAACTAACGTCCAGGCTTAATGGGAACCAAGATGTTCTAAACCGATTTTACCGTTCATTCGGGCTTAATCCTGATTTACTGCACGACGAACTTGACCGGAGGAACATTGGAAAAATTTTTCCCGATACCCCAGTCAAGCTGCTGAAGGAAGTTTTTGAGGCCCTAAAACTGTTTGACTATGCAGAATTCTTAGAGAAAGTAACAAAACCACGGACACTTCGTCCTGCTCTTCCGCTAAAAGAAATTGAAAAGTTATCGAGTGTCAGTAACCGCCCAACAAAGGTTTACAGCAAAGCAAAGGTTTTAATAGTCGACGTCTGTGAAGCCTGTGAAACCTCCGCAGACAATGATTTAGAAACAGCTGGATCATTTTTTAAAGCGCAGAATTCACGGAACGAGGTAACCACATTAAGGACTGATTCTTTTAAGGAATTGTTAGCAGATCTTGATGCCCTAACGAGACGCATGAGAGAAAAAAAAAGTGATGACAGCAGGGCACAGAGAAGGGAAGCACACTTGAAAAACCTTCTGTAAAACAAGATCCCAGACAGCTATATCAAATTAAAAGTAAGAAAGTTCAGAGAATTATATAATATTCCGGATGAGGCTCACTTGAGAAACGAAGATGAAGACGCTCTGCAGCAGGTGATGCGTTCTAACACCAAGAAGGACAAGCAACTATTAACTTTGTTTTCCAAAGAGGAGCCTGCGATGAGAAATGAACTAAAAGAGCTGACGGAAAAAAGAGAACAATGGAAAACCGAAAGGAAGCCATTAATCGAGAAGCAGATAAAGGAGAAGGAGGAAGAACTGAAAAAAGAAACTGAGAAAATTGAAATGGCTGTTTTAAGCGACATCGACAAATGGATAGAAATACACCCAAATGATAAAGGTTCGATGTCATACCCCTTGTAACATTCATTCAGCAACGTTCCAAACTATTTTAAGTCCTGTTTAAGCATGCATCCACACACTGTTCGATATTAGTTGAACAGAAGGTATAACAGTTACTGTAAGTCAACGCTGAACCTTCTACCCCCTGGTACACTTTTGCGCACCCTGCGAAACTGTGAACCTTATAATTAACTCAAGTAAAAAGTCAATCATAGCTCCTCTGAATCGTTTTCCTCTTTCAGAAAGCTTAAAATTGGCAAGAAATAATATCCAAAATTGATTAGAATTCTAAGCGCGGCCTAACTTTATTTTTGTCTGTTATAAAATGTGAATGATCCTGAGAGACTTTTTAACAAAAAAATCTCTGTTTTGGTTTTTGTAGGAAAGGTGTCGACCCTTTTTGTCTTCCTTGTTCAGAATAGCCTGAGACTGGACCGAACGGGTGGTGCAGTTCTACAACAGATGCTTATCAGAATAAAAAGACGCTTGAGTGAAAAACTGGCACTTATTCCAGAAACAAAGGTAGTGATAACAAATAATGTGACACGTACGAGGGAAGAAGGAAACATTTCAAGCGAAACTCTTGAAGTGCATTTGTCTGGACAAGGAGTGTTAACCAGATTGCTGCAGCTTCTGAGCAAGCGCTTAGATACACTGGACCTCATTTCAGTAATGCAGGAATTACAAAGGACGTTCTCACGAACAGTCTTTCGTTACAGGTACCTTGAAGATGTTGATATGCCGGTTCAAATACGTGACAATTTGTCGAGCGTTCCGAGACTTCAGAAGACGGAATAAGTCTCATAGATACGCAGTAGTCTACTCGAATAAAGAACTCCCCTTCCTATGTTCCCCTTCGAGTCATAGCGGTCCCCGCCTTCCTTCCTCCCAATTAAAAATCTGTCGCGTATCCAACCCTCTTCAGGTCCACTGTTTGAGGTGCGTCTAATATAGAGTGTTTTCACACGACGTCACGGCGGCCATATTGGTGTACCAAAACAATAAAACGGCGGCCATGTTGGTGTCCCAAACCAATCCTTTGGGAGTTGAACTCTTTTCTTATGCAAACACTTTCTTTTGTCCCAATAAATTTGCATAGATGCTGGCCACGTGAGTGAAAACACTCTATAGCTTAATAAGCAAGCCATCTACCGCAGTGGGTAATTGGGTGTGTAAACATGGCTACTGACAGAATCTATAGTCAATTGAGAGAGAGAGAGAGTGCGAGGTGATGCACAAATGCGCTACGGCATTACCAGCCCCTCTAAAGTACAGGCTAACGTATTCTCGGTTTTCACTCACGTGAGAAAGCAGAAATAAAAATGGAAACCTTTTAATACATAAAGTCTAGAATCTGGGAAATGAAAGAAGATAAATATACAAAAAGCCTTGCCAAGAATCAGGTATATGCAATAGTTCATATGCGAGATATTCCGAAAAACGTTTTACCCAAATTTATAAAGCTTTGTATGGAGACGCTACATTTGTGTCCCTTTCAGGGGCACAAATATGGCCGCCGGAAACCAACAGAAACATCTGTTTTGGAGTTTTCCTACTTATGCGTGAATTCTTCGCTTGAAGAACTCATAAAGATTAAAGTAAAAACAAAGAACCCTTTTGAACCGAAAATTTGTTTGTATAAAGGTTTTAAGTTGCTCTTATATCACATGAAAGTAGAAATTCAGAAGAAGCGATAGTTTCTTAGTTTGAATTTTGGTGACGTCATGTGAAAACCAAGAATAGCTGTGGACTGTACTGTCCTCAATCATACCCATTACAATTTCCTCAAATTGTATTGGTGCATTAACAGCTTTATCTTTCACTAATCATTGTGTAGCTGAGTGTAGGGTTGTAATCGGACAGTTACATCAGCCAAATAAATTCACCAATCACAGAAGTTATCACAATAACCATAGCAACAACCACACTTACTCTCCCAAACTGCGAATTTTCCAAAATGGACGAATTTGTAACACTAGACAGTGTTTGGGACATTTGGTATTCAAATGCTCTTTCACCATAAGAGAATGCATATATTTTCTCGAAAATTGTAACGGTTATGATTAACTAGTAAAAGGACTTCGTGACGTCCAATTCGGTCTGTAATCACACACGTGATTAAACAAATCGGACTCTCGCTTCGCGGTCGTCAAATTTTGTTAATCACTCGTATGATTAAAGACCGAATTGAACTTCACTCAGTCCTATTACCATTATCAATTCTACTTAATTTTGTTGTTATACATATTGAGAATAGAAAGAAACATTTGGTATAAATAATAGTAACAAGGAGAGTGAAAGGAGTACATATTAAACAATTATTGGATGAGGTTAAGCATGATATCATGAATTATCAAAACCGAGGTCTATGTTATCTGCCGAAGCCTTCAATACAGACACGAGGTTTTGATAATTCATGATATCATGCGAAAACCGAGTTCAATAATTGTTTTATTATACATTTTTTAAACAATAGGCAAAAGAAGACATTCAGCCATTCTGTTTCTGAGGAGAACACTCCAAGGGGCTTGGTAACCAGGCAGACGTTGAACTTGACATGATAAATGCAATATCTGCAGCAAATATTGCATTTATCATGTCAAGTTCACAAGCTATTGTGAATTGATTGAATGCTCTCGACCGATCAGATTTTTCATAGTGAGTCTGCTGTATAATAAAATGAGTTAGCATACGCTGTTGCAATGTAAAGTCAGTGTTATTTAAGGGAGCTGGAGCTTCTGTGTCCCCGTTAATATAACTTGTTTCTTGAAAGCATAGTTGACCTATTAGAGACAAAACCAGCACAAAGCACTGAAATTTACCTTGGTGTCTCAGCATCTGTTTCATATGTTTATAATTTGAACTTAAAAACTTATCAAGTCAATCTTTTAATCATTTGTTTTACATCTTTGATGCAGCAGAAGAGTTTTTTGTTGTTGTTGCTAAACAACGACAGTGTCGTCAACCTCATTTTCGAGCACACTTGGTGTCCAAGCACTACATGTATTACCTGAGTCCTGGTGCAAATGTGTTCACTCCTTAAGCACCCGATATGTAACTGTGTACACACTCCATCGATTTCGCCCTGTCGGGAGCATAGCACCCGTAGCGTACACCTGTCCTCACAACTAAACAGAAAACGTGTGCACACACCGGTACCATACCCGAATTCTGACGTGGGTGCTTAAATGGGTGGGTCCATATTAATGCTCACGGAGTACCAAACTTTAGCACCGTGCATGGGCATTAAATGTTAAAGATGGTTTTAATAATGGTCAACTAATTTGTGCAGCAACCAGGCTAGGAAATGGCCAAGGATAAATAAAACTTAAAGGAAAAAAACACGTTGCGTCAAAATTGTTTGAGCTTAACTTCTTACAGGCTGCAAGAAAACCAGCTAAATAGCAGCATGGAAAAGGTAATCATTGTTTACCTCATTATTGATCACTTACAATTTACACGATGCCTGTACTGATCACTGCCTGCGGTCACTGGTGACTGTTGTGGAGATGATGATGATGACGATAATGATACACATAACAGTTGAAGAAACATGGCGGTCGCATATAAGTAAAATACTGAGCCAACTTGTTTAAAAATACAATTGTTTACCATTTTTCTGCTGTGTCATAGGAGTCATCACCGCATTTACTGTTATTAAAAAGTTCAGATATAACGCGCACTCTGGTTGGTTGAAAAAGCGTGTTTATGGGAGCCGGTATAAAACACGGAGCTCAAGCTGTCACTTCATCTGCCAATAGTTTGTTTTGAAAATTAGAAAGTAATGCGTGGGAAATTTAAAGGATTCCTTATCATAAAAAAAAGAAAAAGCCTTGACCTTTTTCTGAACTAAGGCACATAAGAGGCAGCTACAGCACGCAAGAAGTAGAGAGAAACACTTGAATACGTCTTTTGTTCTCCCATACACTTCTTTCGTCTTCGTGTTCTTCTTTTCATGATCAGAACAAAGTCAAGACATCTGTATTTGTTAATCAAGCAATGTACTTTCCACTGACAATAAACAGTCTGTATAGTAGTATAACTCATGTAAACCTTAATTCCTAGAGTAAAGTTGCAACTAAAATACTTTGGTAATGTTTAAAACTTGAGATTTGAGATGCACTTCAAACTAATGAAAGTTATTGATCGGCACCTTTTATGTGATACTCTTTATATGTTGTACAAGTACCTTAGTGTAAAAGTGAAGTCTTTCCATGTAGCTTAATTTTGTATTTATGAATTAAAATTGAGAACTTTTAAAGTTTCAACTTTGAAAACATGTCTGCAATTTACTTCGCATCTTTGGAAAAGAGCGATACGTAAAAATCAGGAACAGATCGTTCATGACGATATTTCTTTACGATATCTTGAATCTTCAGTTTACGACAAACTTGAGGCGGGGAATACCTGTAAGCGTTAAAACAAAAGGTCAAAAGGGGTCGTTCCGCCAACAGCGCTGGTGTGGGAAAAGATGCCCCATTGCGAAGTGCGCGAAAAAGGTTTAACCGCTACTAAGCGCGGGAAAAATGAAATGCGCGGGGAAATGATCGTGATTCACTTTTAGTTTTTAATGTATTCAACACGAGAAGGAGTGTTTCACTGGTCTTCAATCACTATCAACGCACCTCCAAGTAGCAGTATAAAAATGACGCACAGACGAGATTTCAAACTATCTTCGAGGTATCTGAGTGGACAACGGATAGCACACTCTTTCGAGAGTAAGACTTAGCAGTTTTCATGATTAAAAATGAAAAGATGAAAAAAATCGAACGCTTCACGTTAACGACGTTGTCTTCAGTTTCTGAACCTCTTACCGTGCACTAGTTGTCGTGATTTTCTCTGGTATCGTAACGAATTATTAGCTACTAATAAGATAAGAGGCACAAGAAGACGACGCCCGACAAGCGCAATATTTTCACTCCCATGGCATTATCTCCACTCCCTGAACAAGTTGTTAGTAAAGGCAATTAGAACCAAGCGGGAGTGGGAATCACCCATTTTGTGGGTGTGAATAAAAAGTATTTTCTCCCTTTTTCCTTAAAGAAAGTTTCAAAGAAGCTACAGAACACAGCAAACAACGTTCCAACTTAGATGGCGTAAGGCAGCTTTAACACTCTCAAAAGAAACATCACTTACGAGTCAATTTCCAGTCTACGCCTACGGCATATATTGATAGCGGTCTGCCGTACCATGGTGCCCAGTGTCCTGCGGCTCACTACCATACCGTCCACCAAGGGCCCACCAATAGGGGACCTAAAAAAATGACCAATTATCTTTAGATTAAGGCGGGCTGGCAAAAACACACAAAGTTAACAAACATGATTGAATAATGTCGGCTTTATGAATAATATCACGGTACTTTGCAAGGTTGTCGTCCTTAAGAAAAAATTCCAAAGTAAAAGTAAAAAAGAGATATGACTGATGTACCTGATTGTGGACCTGATATGGATGCGGTATAGCCCACTTCTCAGGTGATGTATAAAAATAACCACGGTGTCTTTCTCGCGCAAGCTGTGTCCCACATTCTGACTGAGATCAAATTCCATCAGCAGCTCGTCCACAGGGAACTGGGCATGATCTTCAAACCGCTCGAGCCAGGCCACCACTACGTTTGTCTCGGACGACGTGTTGTGTGTGCTCAACCTGGACAGCGGTCGACTCTCTAGTGAGAGTTCGTTATCAAGACGCGACATGGCACGGTTCTGAAACCAGAGAGAGCGTCTTGACGTTGACTTAAACGATAATAACCCTTTCACCGCGACAGGACTAGTTCAGTCGGTACAACGCTTGACGGCAGGGCGGGAGATCGCGGGTTCTATCCCCGGGACAGAACCAGCTCTCAGGGTCATAAAATAACTGAGCAATAAAGATACTGTCTTTGCCCTGCAGACGGCGAGACCTTCACGTGGCTTGGATGGCCACGTTAAATGGCGGTCCCGTCTCCATTGGGAGACGTAAACATAGTGGTGTCCTAAGTTATTAATAGTTTTATGCTAAATGCATTCACACTCAAATAAAAAGCGATTTTTTTGTTTTTGTCCAAGGAGCAAATGTGCCAGTGGTTGGTATATTACGTTAATGCGAATTATCGCTATTGGCTGGATTTTTTCGGGTTAGTTTCGCGGATAATTGACTTTAACTTTAAAACAATACTAGCATCAGCTAAACTCTTTACAAAACCTTCTGTTAGTTTATGGACAGAGCAAGTCCTTAACTTCGCCCCGCTTTCATTTATATAAATTACTTTTGCCGCTTAATATAATGTAATGGAAAGACACTGATAATAGGCCATTTGCACGATGGCGTCATTTTACCACTACGACACGAATCCTTCAGGGTTTTGCTTTCTTGTGCAAAAAAGTGCTTATGTTTTGTAAACCTCACTGGGATTACCAGATTTAAAATATGAAAGGAAAAACGTAAAGGATTCTGGTCGTAGTAGTAAAATGACGCCATCGTGCAAATGGCGCATTGATTTCCTCCCCATTGCTTCTTTCTATAATGATAAGTAGTCTATATAAGTCAGGTAAAGTATCACTGGCTCTCATATACCTCGTGTATAGTCATCCCTTCGGAGGCCTGACGGGATATCTTGCTTTTGATATCCAACTGGCTCCCAATACTACTTCCTTCCAGGCTCCCAGTGCTACCTGACCGAGTCCTTCTTCGCAGCATGGGCTCTACTTCCTCCTTAAAGCTCTCCAGCTGTTCTGCTATGCACCGAAACTTCTGATACCGCGGCAGGAGGGACGGCATGATAAACGCCACCTCACAGCTTACATCTGCGTAGTAAAGAATCTCATCAACCAGCTTGGTTTCAGTCGGAGGATGAGAAGGAGAAGAATTCACGGCTGGAGAATCCTTCCCGCTGCTCGGCGATGCTTCACTATCAAAACTCTCTCGACAAGACGCATATCGATCGCTGTCGCTCCCAGACATCTCCTGTTCTTCGCTGCCTGTGAGAGTTGAAACGCTATGAGAGGACCGTAAGTAGCTGGACTCCTCAGGGCGCAAGGTAGATACACTACTGCCTCGGCTCCAGCACTTCTTAATGTTCCCTGACCAGCCCGAGTGCGAGTCTATATCGACCAGCCATCCTAAGGAGAGTAGAAACTCACGGAATGCCTTGGAATGCTTACAGGAACCAATCTGTTAGCAATACAAGCAAATGTTTGAAAAATTATGTTAGCGTGTGTTTTATACATAATGTACTTTAAGTTTAATTAAGCAACAGACCACACTTTCTATGGGCTTACCGGTGTGATAACCCACGCGGGATGTTGGGAGAACACGAGAAAAGCTTATAAATCACGAGCCGAAGGCGAGTGACTTACAACCTTTTAGAGTGTTCTCCCAACATCCTAAGGGGGTTATCACGCCGGTAAACCCATAGAAAGTGTAGTCTTATGCTTTTTATAAAATAACTTTAAACATGTTTCAGTTTTCTGTGAGTTTACCGGCACAGTAAGCCATAGGTTTTTAACCAATCGGAACGCGCGTACTATCTTAGTTATTTTATAATCTTCAATTCACCATGGCCCGACAAAGAAGGGAAGACAAGGTCGTAATAAAGCCTCAATTATCTCGTGTTTCTTATAGAGTTATACAACATAAAGGACAACAACAGCACAACACATTACTCCATGTCAAGTGTTTGCGAACGTTTTTCGTGTAAACGGCATTCCCTACACTTAATGATGTTCCGTCATTTTTCCTTATCTTGTTTCTAACTGGCGCGTCTCTCTTAAGTACTGACAAATGTTGTTTAATTACAACGCCAATGACAGGCTGGGTCGTTCGTTATTTTCATATAACTTCATATTTGACAGAATCTTCGATGAATGCTATTCATGAGGACACTTTGCGTCGAATATCACTAATAAGGTTCATTCATTCCAGTAAATATCACAGATATTATACTCACCTGGTTTTCTATGATTTCATGTGCGTCTGTTTGTTCCGCTTTCACGTAAAACACATAAACTGTATCCTGTGTTCGCGTAGACACGTGATCAAGTTCCTTCAGAGCTTGAGAGAATCCGCTGGACGTGGAATTCAGTGCAAGCAGGCTCGCGTCCTCGAATGGACGCAATGGATTACCCTACAAAAGAAAGAGAGATACGTCACAAATGCATCAAGTCAAGGGAGAGGGCTATCGTCTTAGACAAAAATAGTTGGGACACTTCCACCCAGTGCTGTTTTTACTTCTGGCCCGTCTCCTTGTCCTCCCAATGTTGTTGATCGCAGTTAACTCACCAAATTTGGACACCAACATTGGGAGGGCAAGAAGACAGTTAAGTGTCCCAACAATTTTGACGCGACTGTACATAACGTTCAATCTTGAACAAAAAATGTTGAGAAAAATGGACTTCCCCATGTCTAGTTTCAAGATAAAGCTCTTGAAAGCACTGGTAACTACAAATTAATACTCCCCCTTCCCATCCCCCCCCCCCCTCCTTCCCACCAATAAGCAAAACAAAACAAAAAAAAAACATTGTTTAAGTCCGGCTGGGTCATTTCTGATCCGCACTAAAAAAATTTGCTAGGGTGGGGCGACGGGAGGGGCCATAGAGGTACCATAATAACGGGACAGGCGTTCTGGGGATAAGAAAGTGCAAAACTCTCAACAACACTTTTTGCCTAAGATTGTTGCTCTAAAGGGCCTAGTGGGTTACGCAGGAGAAAGATAGGTCCCCAATGCATTCTGATGTCAAGGGACGACTAGGACTTGATGCGCCAGATGTGACATCTTCTTAGTGTTTTACAACGTGGTCTCTAGTTCAGTCGAGGGTAGAGATTGAAATAAAAAGCGTTTCCTTTGTCTTCAGTGCTCTTTGCCTTTTTTAGCGTTCTTATCCCCAGGGCTGTTTGTCTTTCTTCCCCTTGAAACAGAAGAGGACGACGATAATCCCTTGGAACGAGGTTGCTGCTTTTGTTGTTTTTCGTCACTTTTTGCAAAGACTAACTGCGTTCGGGTCCGCAAGAACTGTTAGATGAACGGAAGTCTATCCAAAAAACGTAATGTGATAGAGCTCTTTGACTACAACTCCAAGACTTTGGAACGAGCTTTCCTAAAACTAGACGTTCAATTTCTGTTTAGATGTTTAAGAGGGAACTGAAAACTTATTTAAATTTGCTCTCTGTAGCTCAATGACCTCGTCCGTAATTTTCTCCTTCTTTGTAGGTTTATATTACAATTCATAAAGTTTAATTTATAAAAGATTATTATAGTATTGACAAAAAAAGCAAGTACGTCTGACAAAATCCCTTTAAAAAAGCGCAAACAGAATAGCAGTATTACTTTACCATTAGTCTTTCGATGGACAGTAAACCAAGATGGGAAAGCAAAAGACGAGATGGACTAAACTCCTTACATGGTCTGAAAAACACAAAGAGAAGTACAGAATTAAGTCAAGTGAATCGAAATAACGACCAGGTTGAGGGTAACAAAAATACACCTGATAACATTCTAAACTCCCTTGGCAACCCCGTCGAGCAACGCTTCTTTAGCCTGCCAAAGTGAAGGACAATGCGTGACGATGGAGACAACGGCTTCAAATACCGTAAAATAATCATCTATTCAGTCCTTCGAGCGGGAGGCTTATTTATTTCAATCACGCGTGGGGTGGGGGGAATAATAAGAGAGATCATTGGCTTATTTAAGAGGTGTGTGTGTGTGTGGGGGGGGGGGGGGGCTTATTTGATTTACATTAACAATGCGCTCACTCTATCGTTAATTGATTTGGTTGTTAAAAATGAGGGCGGAGGAGAAGGCCTTAATAACTTTCTTCTCTTGAAAATAGGGGGGCTGTGCTTATTAAAGAGGGGGCCTCTATAAAGGATTTACGGTACGAATACTAGACATATAAAATGTGCTGTCATTCATCCCCCTGCTACTTACTGGGGTGGTCTTTTTCCTGCATCGTCATCAGCAAATTTCACTTTTGATTTTCCTCCTTTTAATTTTGCCTGCGCCACTGTTTCATGCTCCAACTATTAAGCAAGAAAACACATCATGAAAGATATTATTTATTGTGGTATGTATAAGATAGGGCTCGTTTGTCACTTTCCTCACAACAATCATTTCGTTATTGACCGCAACGCGGCATGGAGTAATGCTCTTCTTCATCAGGCGAATGATGAAGACCAGTAGTATACGGTCCAAAAGTGGGGATAAACAACAAAGTGACAATACTCAGAAAAACGAGACTTATCAAAAGCACACGGAGTACACAGGTATAGAAATACTGAGAGACTCAAGATTTCATCTAAATTTATAGATTTCGGACTTTTCTGATATGACTGGTAAACTAAAGGCAACCTCGTCCCCAGAGCTATTCCCTCCCATTTAGCCCTAGGGACGAGGTTGGGGTAAAGGATGAGTAAAGCCCGGTCCTCACAAGTGATGCAAGCCAGATAATCATGAGCATAAGGAGCTTCTACGCTAGTCAGGACGGGGGAGGGGGAGGGGACATAAGCATATGGATGAACACAAGAATATCGTATATACTGACGTGTGTCAAGGTCATCCTCACTCTAGCGCGTGGGGCAAGGCCGTCCTTGCTCTAGCGCATAAGCTTCTCATGCTCATGCATAGGCTTACGATATGCTTACTCTTATAATTATGCTTGCGTCTCTAGTGAGGACCGGACATAAAAGACACGGAAGGTGAAAGTAATCATAGACCTGTTTCTGCATTAGTGCTCGCATATGGTCCTGCACTTCACTGAGTTTAGAATCTAAAATGTCATCCAGTTCTGGTATACTTCGATCTCTAGAAAAAGGAAAGAAAGGTATAAAATAAAAACTAACACTGCACGGAAATCGTTTGGCAACGGATGATGGAAATGGAAATATGGGAAAGAGGTGTTTTAAAGCATCAGAAAATGACTAGTCCGGCCACTAGTTACAGTCCCCGCCCTCTACACACACAAACAACACTCACTGTGTTTTTATCTAAATTTGCCGAATAACCTGCGTTCAAGCCCTCCCTATATTTATTTTGTCTTTCATGGGAAGCAAGAAAATACTCCTGATCGTATTAACACAAAGTAATACAGCGCTTTTTGAGAAGGATTTAGAGCTGTTGGTCATAGCAAACGCCACCGTTTTTTCGCAAACCGAAGCTTCTTTTTCTCTATACACCCGTACTATGCATGCGATACCGGACTGATAACAACAACGTCGGGTCTCTGTTTAATCAAAAGGTTTCCAACTGAGATAAGGTACTAGCTTGCGTTGCAGACACTTTACACTGCCGGCATGGGCCAATGGCTTAGACGATGGGTGAACCAGCTGCAACGCAGGTTGTAAGGCACGTACAAAGCTATAGGAAAACTTCGAGGAAATAGGACGGATGTTGCAAAAGAAGAAAAACAAAAACAAATTCACTAACGCTTTCGTGAGAGGCACTGTATCCACCTCTTCAGGGAAGGCCCGGTGTTTTATGTTCGGGGGCGGTCGAGGTTGGGTCTTGTCTGGTGAAGGGCGCCCTGGGTCCTTAAGGTGCGCCTCAATCAGGTCCTAAGGAGAAAGAAGCAAATTTACCAGAAAGAACGTTAGTTCTTGTGCAAAATATTACAATACTAAAGCATTTCCAAAGAAAATTGCTCGCCGTACGGATATTTGAGAGCAAGGACTTTTCAGCCCCTCAACAAAAAGGTCGTCAACTAGCTGCAGTGCGTAAAACTTCGCATATGAAATAATCAAAGTGTCAGGAGTCATTGCAGCTGGCAAAAATTCAAGAATCAAAGATTGATTTTCGCAGTCAAAAGGATTAAAAAACCTATCCAAAATGAGAAGAAGTAGAAAAATAATAGAAAAATTCAGTTCTCCAACTGTCATCTTAAACAAGGCTGATTTCACTGGTTAGACGTGTACATCGGCTGAATTAAGCTGAAATACCACTGCTCTAAGCCAATCAAATTGCAGAAATTTCTCATGGAGCAGAATAAAAGGATTAATTGAATAAATAACATGAAGTACTGTACATTTTTCTGTCGTGAAAACTGTCTTAACTGCATGGTCCATACATAACGGCCAGTGGGACCACGGATAACTGCTGACAAGGTCGGTAAAGGGTCTAACAGAAAAAAATACATATTGACGTTATCAAGTTAGTGTAAAATAGAGCTTATAGAGAGGCCGGGTCACACGGTCAATCTCTTTTGTTTCTGCACAGGGTTTAGAATTGATGAAAATCGCTTAAAATCAATGGGTTTGTTGATTCTTTTCTTAAAAGAATGCGATGCTTGCCGTGGTTCATTTATTTTAAGGCAAACGGTAACCTTGCTAGCATATTAAATGGACATCGTTGTTTTGTGGTACAGTTGTAATTCATTATCAGATCAAATTTGTCTTGCGTGTAGCAGTAAACAGGCACAAAAATTAAGCCATCAAGTTCTGGGGAATCTTCATTAAACAAGAAAATTCTTTACTACGAATGTCATTATATTGTCTTAAAAGCTCTCTAAAGTAAAGCAGAGCAGTAGTTTCAAAGCCAGTGATATCTAAGGGGCTTGTCACAAACTCAGCAAACTGGGCCCCGGGGCATTCAACCCGAAAGGCAAGCAAAGATTTAGTCTCCCTATATGACTGCATTTATGGTGGAAAAGGCTTAAAACAATCATGTATCCTGCAATGAACAAAAGAAAAGCTTACCTTTGTGCTTTAGGGATTCTTCTAACAATCCTAACATGATACTGCTATCCTGGATTACAAAGTATTGGAATTTGCGGGGCGTCTGATGAAAAATATAACACGTAACATGTGAAACACTTGCTAATAAACAGTAACAAAAATAATATGAGTCTGACGCTCGTCTGGTGCCAAGCGCTGGAGAAGAAAGAACCGTTGATAGGCAGGCGAGAAAGCAAGGAGAAAAGTACGGGAAAAAAGACCTGGTGCCAAGCGCGCGAGAGAATAGAAGCGTTGTTAAGCAGGCTGGAAAACAAGCAGAAAAATGCGGGAGAAGTGAAAAGGAGCCAAGCGCGGGAAAGGACAGAATTGTGTTTAACAGGCTGAAAAACATGTTGCTGGCGCCAAATGCTAAGTACTCAATACCTGTGTGTGAAGAAAGAAAAGCGCGGGAAAAATGAAGTGGTTGCAAGGACGGCAAACATGTTGCAGGCACCAAACGTTAACAAGTACTAGAATTTGTACAAGGGAGAAAAGCGCGGGTAAATGAAGTGGTGCCAAATGCTGGAAACAAACAAAGATGGTAGGGACGCAAGAGAGCTCATGACACATTAAATTTGGTGCGGACGCTGCGCTCGAAAGCAAGATGCAGGTTAAAGATGGTTGCTGTATAACAAAAGTTTTGCTTTTTTTTTATTTTCTTGACAAAATACTGTACGTTATCTCAACTATTAAAGTACTAGTCCTGTCCTGACCTTTGTTGACCCATCGGTTGGCTGCACGTGATCTAAAACCCAGTCTTCGTCCAGGAGAGATGATAACGAGGCTGGACCACAAGGTGAAGGGAAAGCTCCCTGTTGAATTAAAAGAAGAGTCTGACCTGTTTCGCATCACAAACTGACAAAGCACAATAGTATTTCTCCCACTAAAATATCTAACAGAGTTCACACTATCTCCTTATCGAGGGATGTGGGAGAGGCAGCGAGCGTCACTTCAAATCTGAAGGTCTGGGTTTGGGTCTTCACAGCGCCTCCGTACTGGTGAATACTGGGATAACTGTGTAATGAACTGGCATTGGCCTACCCTAGGTTCAACATGCTTCCAACATGGGTAACCTGTGCTCATATGGAAATTTTTAACAGGCACCATCCTTTCGACTGTGAACACCATTAATACCTGGATGACATACCAAGTGTTCCATTATGACAGTCAAGAGGCCTTCAGCTGCTTCTCTCACTCTGAACGATACAGGTTTCAGTTCTTTGTCACCTGCAAGGAGGAGTACAACCATTACTGAAATATAAAGCTGGACGTTTTTCCCACACAGGACGCGTTCTAATTACTTATTCGAGATCCTATGATACCTACAAATAATTCCCGCTACAAGCATCTGAGCGGACAGCACTCCATTCTTTGACGTCAGAGGAAGTTATGATTTTATCAGTGCACTGTTTCCGGTATGTTCAGCGCTCGGCGAGATTTACTTTCAATTCGTACAGTGTACAGATTTCTCCTTTTGTTCTATAATTATAACAAATCACATGATGATTTTAAAACTATTTAATTTTGTTTCCCTTGAGCCTCAGTGTTTCGCAAGGCAGATACCATTGAAAATAGGAAAGGAAGATTGACCAGAAGAAGAACGGAAGTTTGACCAGCCTACGCAAAGCCTAAACGTGGTTAATCCTATGGCCTTTGCTTATATCAATACGGGAACATACACAAAATTAAGCTGACACTGCTAGAAGTAGAAGTGGAACCTTGGTATTTACCCACCTTTTAACCGAGGGATAAATTCTGTTCCTTGTTGATGATCCTTGAGATAGAAGCAAGAAAATGTTGGTAAGAACAGTCTTAATTTTTAGAAAATTAACAATTTGAAAAGGAAATTGAAGGCTATGAAAAAAAAACAATTGAGGACTTCAAATGGCCACTACAGAAACTTTGGTACTGAATTTTATGGGATTGCTGTGTCAAAACTGATGAAAGCTGTGATCGACTTACGTTGGCATCATTTGTGACCCAACTGAGAAATCTGTGTCAGATGGAGGGAGGCCAGTGCTGTTACCCCTGCGCCGTCTCGACTTTTTACCTCAAAAATTCAACGTGCAAGAGAAACCACACTGGTCTGTTGTGTTACTTACTCTTGGAATTTCTCTGGACTTGCTTCCTGATATTCCCAGCTCAACCACTTCCATGACAACTTGTAAGCAGCCCTGCAAAGTTCAAAGACAAATCATTTAAGATGCTGCTATTTTATGACCGTAAGCCTCTATAGCTGTGTATGTCATTTTTTTTCTGACGCATTAAATTGATATCACCAAGAGTTTTTACTTCTCTATACACTTTCTTATGGGTTAATTCAGAACTTCCAAAACAACGAAGTGCAGCCGGATTCAAAAGAAAGGTACTGAGTGGTACTTTGTGCTGTGCCCCTATTCACTATACTGTACGAAATGGTTCTAACTTTTGATTCTGTGGCTAAAAGCTTTAAGGGCGATCAAAGAAATCTACTGAGCAGTTCTTTTCTGTGGTGCTGTTTATTGCGCTGTAAACGATGGTTCTAACTTTTGCTTCTGGGTATGGAATTTTCATAATGTGACTGACCATTGAAATGAAAGCAAATGTACACTACTTTTCAGTGGTGCTGTTCATCATGTTTTACATGGTGATTCTACATGCAACCTTCTACCCGAACCCCTTCAAAAGTACTTTGACATGGAAACATTTATTTAGCACCACTTTACTAAATTACATTGGAATTTCTCTTGTGTTTTCCGTTCGGAACACTAGCCTTGCGAGTAAAAGGATTATACAGACCTGACTATCCAATAGCCATGGGTGTGACGTTATCCATGTTTGTAGGCAGCTGAATGCAGCAACTATCATAGAATGTAAGTCACGTGAGTGATGTGTGGCTTTCTTATTGGCTTGGTATGATACATAATCACACAACCAATGGATTGTACTCTTGCATTCAGCTTGGTCTGAAAAAGCAAAAAACGTCCAACATTATTTTTGTCCATGTGCTTTTAAAAGTGTGCAGCTGGATGGTTTATACTATATAGTAAAATATAAATTATATAGCCTGCGTAGACTACGAGCAGTCTCTCTTTTCTCTGTAGTCTGTCGAGCAAAACGCGAGACATGCAAATGGCCACGCACGTGACTGATGCCGCCCTCGTTTCGCGCGTCTCGCGGCTTCGCCGCTCCCGCGCACGTGCATTGCTCTCACTAAATCTGAAGAAAAAGAGACTGCTCGCAGTCTATAGCCTGCGTAGCTGGTGAAATTGTTGTGCGTGGGTTGGCGGCAGAGCCGCCACGCGAAGGGAGAACAGCGACGCCGCGAGGGAAAATCAATTTAACTTGCTCCCAACCTTTATGCGGCTCTGCTGCCAAAACACTACAGCACTCGCCTGCTAATCCCACCAGCCACGCAGGCTATAACTTATGCTTTTCTAAATGCTTTCTTCAAGAGGAAAACCCATGCTCAATATCAGTCCATTGTATTTGCTGAAGTCATACTATTTCACTCTCAACAAGAAATAATAAAATAATATTTCTATTTACTCTAAATGATTTTAATTAACTTTTGCTTCGTTTTAAAGTCATTATCAGACAATGTACATTACCATACCCAAAAAGAAACTCAAGGAGGAATAAAACTTAAAACAAGGACAAAATTCAACCACAACATACATGAGATCTTCCTTACCCAAATGATCTATGCTAAGTTGAGCAAGACTAGAAAGTAGCTCAAAGGCAGACAGTGTAATGTGCAGGTCAGATTTCCATCGGCTGCTTCTGATCACAACAAGTTTATTACAAAGGAGATGTGTCAACTGCACAAAGAGACCCTGTATTGTGCTCAGGTCAGCTGCAAAACAAAAAAAGGGAAAAAATACAGTACAGTGTACAGAAATAGCTAAGAATTGCAGAGTTCAACTGAGATACATGAACATGAAGTACAGGTGTAGAAGACCACATTGAAGGATGTCAAAAGTGGTGGAGGGAAAAGTACCAGGTCTAATCAATTGTAATATGGAATTGGCTAGACCACAAGTTAGATTGTGAACAGGCTTCCACATAACAGGACACTGTGGTTTGGAAAGGAGGAGACAAATCTGGGAAAGTTTGAAGTGTTTTTGAAGATCAATATTACTGAGAAAGAAAGAGGTCATTAACAAATCATGATTAGCCTGCGCAATCAAGCTCACCAGAACGCTCTGGTGGCAGGGCTGGAAGAGGATGGAGATGGAATTTGAATCCCACCAAGAATTCCCCTGTGGCTCCCATGAACTGGGTTGTCAGATTTCCACCAGTCAGCACGAAGGGGAAAAGAGTGCAAATGTAAACAAACATTGAAAAAAAAAAGGTGCCAAGGGTAGTGATGTTTTTAGTAGTGTCATCTATGCCAATCAGCATTTCACATCAACCTTTTTGATGCAGATATCAAATTCCAGAGATGTAGTAGCAAGCTCTCCTTCCTTTTCCTACCCCACTGTCCGAGTGCCCCAGAGAGCTTGCTCGCAGGCTACAACATGCTTCATAGGTGATTAACTAAAAACATGACTTATTGTATAGGCGATCAACTAACTACATGGAAGTTGACAAAATCGAATTCTTTTTAACAATACTCTGTCTGACTGACACAGCACTACAGTTTTCTTAAAAATAATTATTTACTGCTTCATTCAATAAGACAGTAACTAAGTAAACTCAGCTGCTAAGCTTCCACAATTTTGTAACATTTTTTCACATTGAAGAAGTATATATGAATGCATACCATTTGACTGCACAGACTGCTGACTGAATCCAAGCTGGCCAACACTGTCCAAAGTACCAGTGCTGCCGGCCTCTGATATTGGGCTGCTACCAGTGCTGGCTCGGCGGCGAGCATCCTGAGGAGCCTGGAGATGATCAGACACACGTGCTGGAGTATCATCCTGCTTAGGGGAAGCAATCCCTTGGGACTCCGCAATCTCACTATCTTGGACTAGTAAGGATACCCCTGAAAAGAAATGGTCATGCAATGTATAGTAAAAGATAATCATGCGAGTACCAACAGGGTACCATAATACCATCTGTGCTGCAGAGGGTACTCATTAGCACATTGGTCTAGAACCCTGATATATAATTTCAGAATCAACGAGTACTTGCCTGTTAGGAGGCTGAGGGGAAAGGATGGACAATAATTATTGAATATAAAATGTTGGAATTGTTAGTGTATAAGCATGCAATTGTACACTTATCAATGTCTATAAGGATGCAACAAGCATTTCTTTTTTTTCATAGGGCACACAAAAAAGTACAGAAGACCTTGTCACATCCAACTTAAAACTTTCTTAAACAACAACAAACCTCCCACTAAGATCTGAACATTAAAAGAGTCCGCTTCACACTGCAGAGCTTCCAGCAAAAGTCTAGTGAGTCTGGGCTTTAGTGACATGAATGTCAGTGTCTTCTTGGGTTCTTGATTGTCTTGTTCAGCAGAGTTTTTCTTTCTCCACGTTGCTGTCATGTCTAGAAAAAAATACAATAGACAAAGGAAAAAATTAGCCTTTAACTCAAGGTACTAATCAATCTCAGTGAAGGAATATCCTCAGTTACAGCTGTAGGTACAAAGATAAGTTATAAATTATAAATACTGAAATTATCCACTCCCCTTACAGGGCTTCTCAGGGATACAGAACCAATAATTAATTAAAAAAAAAAAACAAACAATAGAAGATAATAAATGTTTAAGAATCCTAACTGATAAGAGGCAAACCAGTTGGCTATTTACAAGCGTTGCCAAGGATTTGAACTCAGACTACCAAGAACAAATCCAGCTAGTGGCCAGGGTGGGACTTGAACTCGGGGTTTCCGGACTACAAGTCCAGCACTCTAACCACTCTGCCACACTGCCTCCACTGAAAAGGAGATAGCTCTGGACGACAGCAATGGAATATCAGAAACAGTGAACTCAGGAAGCAGCCAAAAGCTGCTAAATTCAAGGTAGAACTCTTTTATGATAATTTTAACAAAATCACAAAGACCAGAGCAGTCTGTGATGAAGTGTTTGCAACATATTTCACACCTTTTATAGGGAGATCTTGAAAATGCAGTGGAAGGCACAACATGGATAACAGAAGATGTATTGCTGCTCTACAAAGCTCAGTGGTCGAGACATTACACCTGTGTGAACATGGTGAGAGAAAAGGTTATAAATGCAAGACAAAAATTAAATAATTGTGATTACAGTCATAATGTAGTAATTAACCTTTACAGCTTTTAAACTCAACCTCTGAGTTAATATAATTATTTACAATGTACAGTACAATGATGCAGGACACTTAAATGAGCAAAAACATCTTTTGGAAAAATACTGGTAAAGTATGACATACAGGATTGACTGGAAATCACACCCTCATTTGTAGAGTACATGTACATGATTTCGGAAGATACTTTTTTTTAACATCTCGTTATCATTTTGCAAACCCAAGAGTTCCAAAACAAAACCTTAGCTACATGCACTGAAATGTCAGAATGCATAAAGATGTAAACTTTTTTTTGTCTCCACTGAATTTCTAATTGGTTTAAATAGACATCAAAATTTATGAAATCTTCGCAAAGCAGAATGTAGATTAATCTCCCGTTTTCTAAGTAACTTCCTTATAATAAAATCTCATCTTAGTCTTAAGTATTAAACAGAAATCCTATGTGAGAAACAAGTAAAAATTAATTGTAAACTTTTCTTGGGTAATGTTTGCAACTCTTATGATTGGTCAAAATCTTTCACAAAAAGGCACCCTTTAAAAATGGAGTTTCATAAACTGCCTTTTTGTCGGTTAATGCATTGTCTGGGTGAAAATAACATATTCTTATGTGAGGAAAGTGATCGCACCATAACAAAAGCAATTGTTTCCTTTGTTACCAGGATCATTACTTAATCTGGACTGTGTTTGCAGTATTAAAGATGGGGGTTATACCAAAGGACAAAAATAATGCAACATAATTATGGAACCACAAGTTGACAAATGCACCCATCAAAATGATACACCAGTAACAAGGGAATTTTGTTTATTTTATAAATTTACATCTTTTATTACTTCATTTCATTTAGTTAGCTCGCATACTGCACCTCAGTTGAAATTCTTTCCTAGGTAGCACTGTCTCAAGAGCAGCGATAAGGTGTGGTAAAAGCACTTGTACCCCCTGAAGGTCAACTCGCAAGAGATCAGCTGAGTTAAGAAGTATACTGCATAGAACGTGACCTGTACATAACTGAAAGAGATTGAACAATAACAAATTACAGTATATTTGAGTGGAAAATATTAATTTGACTAACAACAATCTGTAAATGGAAAGCTAACACCTTCCAAATTGTTTTAACATTTAACATTCTAATGCTCACTGTAATAATACATCGTATTATAAATAATAATGCTTGTTCTAACTGTAGTGGTATTATGTACATTGCACCTGTAGGGCTGTCGCTAAGATTTGAAGTTGCTGGGTACAATGTAAATTAATCAGACAGAACATGCAAGCAAGATGGCAGCATGGCAAGGCTCCACGAGACACAAAGTTTTTCTTGTTGACTCTAAAATAGCAATTTTTGCTGACAACTCCAAATTATACAAGATCATTTCAAAGAATACTGATAAGACCTCTCTTCAGCAAGACGACTCAGCTCTCCAACTGGAGTCACACCTTAACAATGAGCCTTGGCATACCAAAGTGCAAGACCCTAAACATCTCCAGCAAAACATTTCTGTTAAACAGAGAATACCACATACTTTGGGACCCTACTAAAAACCACAGCTAGCAAAACCATTGACTTGGGCATTAAACCATTACAGACAACCTTCAGTCGTCTCAACTCATAAATCAGATCTTCCTGAGAGCAAACCATACTCTTAACAAACCATAATTATTACCAACCGCGGTTCGGAAAATGAGCTCGCACTCCTCCCCCAAACAGACGGCAGGAGGCATGAGTTTGCTATTGTCAATAATAACACAAATCAGATTGTTGCCTGCTCAAATCAAGCAGGCAGCATAAATTTATTTTCCTCGAGCACAATTCAAATGGCAGATGCAAAGGCATGTTTGATGTGGAGTGCGATTGCGTTTTAGAGTGTTTTAAGCTAATAAAAACATCTGAAATGTTTACAAAGAAAAGCAATAGCTTAAATAGAGAAGTTGGCAAATGGTAAGTACGTTTTTGAAATTCAATCAGCCATATCTGGATCATTACGGTAGCGAACCTCGATAACTCAAACTCGGATTACTCAAATTCTGCGCTATACATGTAAACTCGAACTAAATTTTCTTTGAATCTCTTGATCAAAATTTCACTAAAATTCACCCCGCCAATACCTCAAATTCCTTGCTAATTCGAACTGCTTTTTGTTTCCCTTTAGTTTACAGTTCGAGTTACCGCTTGTAATTATTTCCAGTTTGCAACAATGGCTGTTGACAGCTAATGTGAAGGAGACAACTGTGAAGTCCATTTCTGTTGTAATACACTCCAAACTTATAATACAAGATTAATGTCAACACCTTAAACCAGTACGTGTTTTTGCTGATGTTTATGGCAATACTGAGGTGACCAAGAGGCAAAGCACCACAGGTGTTCCATATTTTATGACATTTCCCATTTCCGGTGTTTGGTAACGATGCATAAATTAAATTTTGAATTTTTGTCATGGACAGGATAGGCCACTCACGCATCCAGCCATCTCTTCTTGGGGAGGACCAAGAGAGCGGCAGAAATTGACGCTACCTTATTTACCGACTCTGCAGAGACATCAGTGACACTGACACCAGGAAACTTTTATACTGTTCAATTGTTCCACCCAAATTAGAATAAATTATTATGCTAGTGAACTCTGGTCCCCTTACACATGTACACATGAAGACTTCGGTGGCACCCACACCCAAACTTCCCTATAGTGGACGCCCCTAGGGGGAAATCCCCAGCCCCTGGCCCTTAATGACAGCCCTTTAACACTATGTACAAACATTCTAATGCTAATTATGTTCAAAACTCTTACTGCCAGCTTTACATTCTTCAAAGCAGAACCAAATTTAGGTTATATGTACTGTACGTACCCAATCAGACAGAGCTATTGCAAGTAACTTGGAACTCATTAGCTTTACTACAGGCTATGGTAATACACACAACAACTCCATTCACATTAATAGCTCCTCTGCTGACACTCAAATTAACGAATAGTACTGTTTGGAAGCTTCCTTACATCTAGCACCTACACATTAGACTGTTTACAGCCATTCAATTTACTCAGAGAAAACATGTCAAGAACCATTGACATGTAAAATTAATTCATTTCAGCTACTCATCTTTTTATCACTGATAGAAGTTATGTTTATCACAGAATTTTTTTCATAGGCTTGATTAAAAAGGACTTCACTCTCTTAAGTAACTATCGCTTGTTTTGCACCTCAAAAGTTTAATACATTTTTTGTGTAATACCAAGGCTCTACACTTCATGTCCAGGAAATCTCAAAAACAGAAAATCAATCAATCAAAAATTACCAGTAACAAAAATAAATATATAATATAATACTGCTTACATCTGAATACAGGAGTCCAATTGCCACCGCTAAATAAAATCTGGACAGATAGACTGGTCTAATCTCTTGATCAGACTGATGACTACAAAAGATGCGGCAAAGAGCGCCATAAGCCTCAGCACATCCCGGCTCAAACTTACTGTCCACGAAGTAGCCCACAACGTCATGCCTAAAAACAACAAAGTCAGGTAGGCATGGTTACATGACTGTACAATTTCAGATTCAGGTCTAAAGGAGGGTCCCCCCCAAAAACTGCAAGACAGTCAGATTTTTTTTATTAAAATCATTTAGCGTAGCATAAGAGTCTCACACAAGTGATGCGTGCAATCCCACATTTTTAGCGGGGCTCCCGCGCGCGCGAAGCGCGCGTGGGACAGAGCCCCATACTCATGGAATATGGTCAACCTCTTTTCGTTTGGTTGTCACGTGATTGACCGAGCGTACGTACGTACGTACGTACGTACATACGTACGTACGCGTCTACAGATTGTACGGGTGGGGTAGGGGAGACTATCAAAAGGAAGGGAGGGGTGTCTCAGGCGTGTCTTGGCAAGTCCACATCTTTAATATAGGATTTTAGGACATTCACAATATGGTCAATTGACAGCTGTCAAAACAGGATAGCCACTGACCAGTATCCCATGACCATATCGCGGGCTCATGTGTCAACTCATCGAGGTGACGTGATTTATTTGGAAGCTGTCCGCTGACCAGTTAATTGTTTTACTAGATCGCGAACAATGTTCAATCTCATACTTTTTACTAGTTAAACTGATAATGCACACATATTGGACATCAATTTGATCAATTGACAGCTGTCACAACAGGGTACCCGCTGACCAGTATCACTTGACCGTATCGCGGGCTCAGGTGTCGACCCATCGAGGTCAAGTATTTTTTTGAAGTTATCCGCCGACAAGTTACTAGTTTTCAAGTGATCGCAGGCTCAAGTTCAAGTTTTTTCTAAATTCATATGAAATATGTTGTGTTTATGTGCTACACAATTAAAATTTTGATTGCAAACTGACCTCGGACGCGAAAATTCAGCCAGCTGTTACAGGCAGGGAAGACAGTTGCTTTTGACTTTTCTCACCATGGTCACGCATTGGTCACGCTCTACGTCCAATTTTTATGCTCTGATTGGTCAAAATTCGACAGGTGAGTTCATGTGGAAAATTTATGCAGCATCTTGAATCTTGTTTACTTTGACAGCTGAAGCTGACAGAGTTTTGTGTTAACTTGTGATGTTTTTAACTGTCTTTTTCCAATGGATGTGCAAAATGAAATTCAGCTGCTATCAGGAGTCCTCTGTTATTCATGGCTAGTTTGTTTATTGGGTTTTTGGTTGAGGAATACGTCGCTTGTCAAAGTCGGAAATCCGATTTCCGATGGCATCGTTTTCGTTTTCATCTTGCTTGATGCGTAAGAGGATTGCAAAGTCTGAAGCGATACTGGCTTTTCTTGATACCTTTCAGGAGCTGCATCTCGAATGGTAAGCCAGAGAAATTATTGTATTTGATGTTTGTTTTTTTGGATCTAATTTAATGAAGTCGAGCGGAGTTTATGCGGTCATTTAGTTTATGCACGTTTGTAAGATTTGAGACAATGATCTGACCGAGTATCAGGTTTGATATATAAAGCTTACAGAACTTTAAAAAGCCTTTAGACAGTTTCTCACCGCAAATAGAAAGAAAACGTGCCAAAGAATATTTAGTTATAATTCTGGCCGGAAAAGAAAGCTTTGAGCGATTTTCTTGCCTCGAGTTCGTTTTTGAAAAAAGCAAACACCGGGAAGCCGGCTTAAAACACAAACTTAAGCTTGAAGCTTGTAAGACTCAGGATTTTTAGGGATACTTTAATACTTGTCTTCCTGAATGAAAATTGTTGTTTCTGTATATGTTTCACCGAATTATATTTCTTTTATTGATTGTTAGTAGTCTCTCTTGTAATTTTAATCGCTGTGCCGATTGTTTTCAGTCGTTCAGTGAACTCGCTTGCAGGAGTACTCAAAATGCCGCGCGTTAATAAACCATTAAATAAAAAATAAACAGAATAAATTCTTTATAATGTTGGAGCGTAACTCTGTTAATGTTCATTCAAACACTCGCCACAGCTCGCACTACAAAAGTGAGAACCGGATGGCCGTATAGGTGATTTTGGAAATTTTTTTAATAGTTTATGAATATTGAATGAGTGCAATTTGTATTGTGAAATACTGCTTTCTGTCCGAGGTCTACCGGTATGATAAAAACAATGCCTCATACTACTGTTTCACCTCAGATGTGATGTATAAATGGTATAAAAGGTTGGTTTACACGCACCCAGATTTGTTGACAAGATTTTGCAAAGCAAACTTGTCGAACGCAAAAAAGTTGGCCTGATTTTTTTCCCACTAATTAATCTACGGTGATCAAGAGCCATTATGGCTCTTAAATGTGATCGAAGATGATTACCAGTTTTTGGGTGTACATATGAGGCTATCAACTCGATGTAAGATTTGGTCCACTCTTGGGCTGTTTGGAAATTATGTTTCTCTAAAATCAGGTAGCCTTTCCCGCAAAAGTCACATAAATGTGCTCTAAAGTTAACTGAATTGTGGAATTCGAATACAAGTTTATTGTTTAATTTAAATTGTAAATTTATTAATGGGAGCCTCGCTTTTAGCCCTGGCTAAATCTATATATTAGCCTTGCTCCAGACTTTTTGTTTGACTGTTTGCATGCACTTGATTATGCAAAAATACACACTGTTTTTCAGTCAATTATATCCCCCTAATACATGTACAGCCAGTGATTTTGTTATCTCTGCATCCTGCATCCCTGATGCATAAAAATCCCCAACGACTCAAAATAATTCAAACTACAATGAAGGTAAAAACCCCTAATTTTTTTACCTACATGTACAAAATTTAGATAAGAGCATCAACTATTAAGGGTGATAAAGATTGAAAATCACATTACATGTCTGTCTGGAAAACAATATTGGCTTTTGAAATACATGTAAAGTAAAGAAGAATTCACAGCCTTACCCCACTCTGCCTGTCCCTGTCATTTCAGGAACAGTATTTCCAACAAATCCTTCATAGATCTTTCCAAGGGCCTTGAAGTTTGCTGGCATGTCCATCTTGGCAAATATAGCATCAAAGAGCCATGCTCCAAACAAATGAAGCACGCTGTCCCCTGATGGCCTTTCTGTGTCAGATGCTGTTGATCTAGGAAACAGCATTGAAGTTGAGGATATGCTTGTTAGTTCTGTGTGATGTGGGTCTAGCTGGGGTATTCCAGTAGACGATGCTCCACTGCTATTTCTGGATGGGACTGTTTGCGATCTTACAATCCCTGTCAGATCATTTAAACCTAGAGCCAAACCAATACTCAGGGATTTCAGGTCACGCCTCTTGGCAGGTGGCGGGCTTGAACTTTTCGTTGGTGCCGGTATTGGTATGTGCTTCACTGGCTCATCCACTGTTGTCGTTATGCTCAGGAAGGCATTTATAAGGACTGCAATACCTTTCATTGCTTGCAAAAAATTCTGGGGAAGCATCTTCAAACAAGGATGGGCCTCAGGTGAAATAACTTCTTCACTTTCCAAAGCAAATTCTTTGAATCTAGGTGTAGCACTGATGACCTCCTTCTTGCAGAGGTCAACAGGATTTCCTATGATGTGGAGAATTCGGAACCAGCACTGTATGAGGCAATCGCTAGCTAATTTGGCTGGAAGTCGGACATCGCTTTTCTTGGTCGGTACCAGGGGCAAAGGGAAGCTAGGGCCATACATGAATTGTATCACTTTCTTGGTAAGAGAGAGAGATGTTCTGCTCCAGTAATCAATCATTGCACTATGATGTCGCCATGACATGCAAAGTTCTTGTAATGTTTTCCACATTGAAGGTGCAGGGAAATGATAACAGCTGGCATAAAGCCATACTTCAAGCAGAACACTAATTAATTTTTCGCACAAGTGTTCTGCAAGTCCCCCAGATATGTTTGGCGGTGAAAGAAGCATGTCATTTATGATCATCAAAAACTTTAGCAATGCCTCCCATGTTAAAGGCGACATCTTTGCTTCTGCAGCAGTAGCTTGAATCACTTGTAGCACTCTGATACATAACGAGGCTTGTAAAGCTAAATTTCCTTCTGTTCTTTTCACAAAAAGGTTACGAAAGTGATGGAAAATTGCCTTAGCATATTTCTCCGGGGTCTTGAGCAGGGGTTCGGGAATTCCATTCTTAGGATTTGTCAAAACTGTGAGCCAGTCCAGATATATGTTGACACAACCCTTAACTATTTCGCCATCACTCTCAGTCATTTGAAGAGTTAACCCATAACACAGAACTTCCATAATCCAGTCCACTTCTTTCTCTGAACGAAGAGACTCTTCTGTTCCCGAATTGACGAGTGTTTTGACAACTGTGTGAGCAACATCTTTTCCAACGGATGGTGGGAAATTCTGCAAAACGCTTCTGTTACTTTGGTCACGCTGCAAAGTATTACGAAGAGAAACCCATTCGGAGTACATGATATAACTGCGAAAATGAAGGAAACACAAACCAGTTAGTATGACAAGCAACTTTAGGGACCACAAGTGTAGCGAAGCACACCAACGGAAATACAAAAAAAAATTGTTTGGAGATTTTCCATCGTAAACCTACCGGTTACGGGTGTATGCTTCCAACTACAAAAAGGAGAGCTGTTTAGACCACGAATATAATCTCCACTAACCCCTCTACAAACCCAATCTCATCGCCATTTTGTTTTTTGGAAGGGACATCCGCTGTTCAACATTACCCTAGTCACTAGGCACCCCTTTTCACCTTTTCACGTATCAGGGGTAAGCACATATGATTTCTAGTTCAACTTTTTAATACTTCCTTAGATTTTCTGGAATGAAAAAAGCGTTTAATTCACAAGGAAGCTAAAATATTTATTATACTACTGAGTTGAGCATCGTTAAAAAGGGAACATGTTCTTTTTTCCATGATCGAGGGCAAGCTACTACGACATATGACATGAAGAGCTTTGGTTTTGTACTAGCAAGATTTGTAGTGATATTTGGCATAAATACTACGAGTGATATTTCGAAATTGTTATACGTAATTTTAAATTTGAGACAATTTTGAAATATCACGAGTGGTATTTATGCCAAATATCACGGCGGGGCTAAAGTGCAGGTCACAGGCCACAGGCCAGGTTACAGGTCACAGGCCACAGGCCAGGTCACAGGTCAGACCACAGGCCACAGGTCAGGTCACAGGTCAGATCACAGGTCACACACAAAAACAATAGGGCACTGGACAAAACTGTTATTGATTGGCATTTTATTATACAAAGCCAAGGAACTTCAATTATATTTTTTCTGTTCTGAACTTTACCAAATCCCACACATGAGAAAATATATTCATTGTTGATCACGCAAGGAGGACTTGCGTTACAGCGTAACCAAAGTTGGTAACGAAATCACAAAGGTACGCAAAATCACGTGTTTTTTGAGAAAAAAACGAATCTCAAAACGAAGGGCTGTTGCGTTAAGAATATCATGACGTGTTTGTGGATGTTTTGAAAAGCATTCGACGGGAAAACGGAAGAAAAATTTAAGGACAGTCTAAAACTTATTTGACCGCTGAAATACGGCAACTTTTTTCAGACTTTCCTCTTCCTAAACTCTTCTTGCCACTAGATCGGTCTTCCATCTCTTTTGAAGATGGCGGCCTGTTGCTCGCGCTTCGTACCAGTCATTAAATACTGCTGTGTTAAAGTGTAGTCGGTTAAGAACTTCAGACACTGCTATTTGGGCCTCTCGAATAGTTGCTGGACCATATTTCTCGGCTCTTCTCCCAAGAGCTTGCCATTTTCTCACGTTCTGTTGCACAACAGCTTGAAAAACCTCTGTTGGATTTGCCTCGTGGCCCTTAGGTGGGAGCATTCCGCCATTACAACTTGAATCTTTGACTCTGTAAACTGCTGATGTATAAAAGGATTACAGTGCTGCATTTCAATGACTCGCTCCAAGTTATCTTGGCTGCACGGTTTATTTGGAGATGACATTCTAATAACACGACAACACTTCGTTTTCAGTGAAAAACATGTGATTTGTTTTTCGTACAAATCACATGATTTTGCACACCTTTGTGATTTCGTTACGAACTTTGGATATGCCGTATGATCAGCATGAAAATGTTATTCCATGTGTGGAATTTAATATTGTTTAAAGGACAAAAATATCATCAAGGTTCCTTGACTTATTTTATTTTTGTATAGTAAAACGTCAGTCCAGAACAGTTTTGTCCAGTGTCCTATTGTTTTTTGGGTGACCTGTGACCTGTTACCTGACCTGTGACCTGACCTGCGGCCTGTGGCCTGTAACCTGACCTGTGGCCTGTGACCTGTAACCTGTGACCTGCACTTTAGCCCCGCCGCAAATATCACGTACAAATCATGCTGTTATTTGTTTATACTACTACCTGCAAAAGGTTTGTAATTTTCACATGTAGGTATTTCAAATTAAGCTGAAATACCACTGCTCTAAGCCAATTAAATTGCAGTAATTTTTCATGTAGTAGTGTAAGGCGTCTAATCTGTCGATTTCCAGGGTTTACCTCAGTGTAAGAACCTGTGAACTTTTTCTTTGTTTCGCACCTTTTGTTTCTCTGCATTCTATTGCGTTGACTTCTTTGTTTCCTCCGTTTTACATCACTTGTGCGTTTAACAGGTTCTTACACCGAGGATGAGCCGATTTCCATTTATGGAAATCAAAAAGCAACCTTGGACTGTAGACCATAACAAATAAATATATGGCAGCACTCCTTCATACTTTACCTATCAATAGTTGGCACTGCAGCTGCCCCCGCTCTGTATGTATCGTGGTCGGTCAATAGTCTTCTTGTTTGTGTAGCTCTTTAAAAAACATAGATTCATAATTGGATGTTTTCACACATATTGCATACATAGATAAGAACACAAAACAAAAAGTTTCATGCAGTGATTCAGTTTGATTTTAAGCCAGCTCAGATCAAACCATTCTCAGTTTCGAGAATACTTTATTCTAAAATATAAGCAATTCTTCACTATTTCTCTTTTACTTTTAATTTACAATGTTTGATCACATTGCTCTTGGGTGTTCTAGTCATTTAACTTTTAAGACAATACGTTAATGAGAATTCGATGAAGAGAATTGTTTCATTATGATGGAAAGATATCTGTTGAAGAGCAGTATTCACCATTTTGCATTCCGCAAGAGATACTGAAAGCAAAGTTTATGCAACAATATTAGAAGGGGGCAGACAGACAAGGTGTGTTAGGGGATGCAAAAATAACAAACACATGTATTTATCATGGGTTATGTAACCTTCTCTTTGGGGTGTTACATGGTATGCTGTTCTGTTGCTTCATTAGCGGTAGGCTATATATATTTGAGTTGTTCTCATTTATATTCATTCGCGTCTTACGACCGTCCCCACTCCCTCAAAATTATGTCTGATGTTGAAGACGTTACTCCAGCGAACACAGATTTTCCTAGCAGCGACGTTTTGCTGCCTTCGCTTCCTAAACAACCTTTTTCTCAATCTCTCGAAGCTTCAGTACCAATCCAGTCTTCAGAATCCAGTGATATAGCGTCCGCGTTCTCTCTATTTAAGGATTATTTCGACAAGAAGTTGGGCGCCTTGAAGCGCGATATTCAAGACGAGTCGTGCAGTAATACCGATTCTGTGGCCAAAAAGCTTAAAGAAGAATCCAAGATCACGTTTAGATTCGAAGGTAATAAGGAACAGTTTCAATTCAACTCCGACCTTGCAGAGAAGGTGAAGTCGGCGTCAGTTGCTCTCGGGAAGAGAAAATTGAACCTTGTTAAAACTCACCTGGAAGAACTAGACTCTGACATCAAGAAGCGCAACAAACTTATCAGACTGGCAGACAAGTCCGCCGCCGGTTGGGATTTGGTGAACGAGTATATATCAGACGAGCTGGCTAGCGGGTCAGAGGACGAAAAGCGTATCCGCCGTGCCGAGCAGAGGGCCCTTCGTAAACGCAACCAACGCCAACAGAAAGCGAAGCCATCCAAGCAAGGTTATTCACAACTCCAATCATCTACCGCAACCACCGCGTTTGCTGGCCAACATTCATCATCCTCCAGACCTATTTCTCGTACTTTTGGCGCTTTCAGCAAACCAAGACCAAGTGATATTTGTTTCGCCTGCGGCCAGCAAGGTCATTGGAGATCTCAGTGTCAAGTTAATTCTCAAGCCAGATCTTCAAGCTCGGGGCCGTCCTTTCCTAGTTCTTCTGGTCTTTCGGGCATTGGAGGTAAATAGGACCACAGAATTAAAAACTTGTTCTCCAAGGTTAGATATTAGCTTTACTCAATTTATTAGACATGTATCCTTCTTATTTGGAGCATTTCAGGGAAAGGGACTCTAGTTCATTAGTCGATCTCGATTATGATCGCAATCTATTTGAATTTGAACAGAATTCCGCATTGCCAGTACTTAAGGGTAGACTTAGGTCCTGTTTAAGTTATTGGCACACTATTGGTGCCAATATTTTTGTTATCGATACTATTAAATTCGGTTATCGGATCCCATTCATTAGCACACCTTGTCAGGCCCGTTTTTCTAACAATCAGTCAGCTCTTAATAATGCGTCTTTCGTGGAGTCGGCTATCGCTGAATTAGTCCACACTCACGCCGTCGTTGAGGTGCCCTTTATTCCACATGTCGTTAATCCGCTCTCTGTCTCGATACAGTCTTCAGGCAAGAAGAGGCTTATTCTGGACTTACGTCATGTCAATCATTTCGTTTGGAAACAGAAGTTTAGGTGTGAAGATTGGAGAGTTTTATTATCATATGTTAATAAGGGCGATTACCTTTTCAGTTTCGATCTCAAGTCTGGATATCACCATATCGATATTTTTCCGGATCACCAAACTTTTCTGGGTTTCTCCTGGGTTTTTTCTGGTACCGTTCGGTATTTTTGTTTTGCATCACTTCCGTTCGGTCTAAGCTCAGCCCCATACGTCTTTACCAAGTGTCTCAGACCACTCGTTAAGTTTTGGAGGTCTAACGGGATTAAAATTGTTGTGTTCCTCGACGATGGGTGCGGAAAAGGGGATTCACTGCCTATGGCCAAGGAAAATTCATTGTTTGTGCAATCATCCTTAAGCAGTGCGGGGTTTGTTGCCAACTCCGCCAAATCACTATGGAACCCCACTCAGGTGCTTGTTTGGTTGGGTTTAAACTGGGACTTAGTTATCGGTACCATTTCTATTACCGATAGACGTATTTGCAAATTTATCGCTCTGATTGACAAATTTCTTTTATCCGCACCTTATGTTACGGCTCGGGATTGTGCCGTTATCGCAGGTCATGTTATGTCCATGTCGCCAGTTTTGGGTAACCTGACTCGTCTCAAAACCCGTTTCCTTTACAAGGTCATAGAATCCCGCCGTAGTTGGGATTCCCGTTTTAATATCGGGCTTCATAATGATTGCCTCTCTGAAATATTTTTCTGGAAAAACAATATCGTTAGTCTTAATACGAGACCTATTTTGCCTTATAATGCTCCCCTTTTGTTTAGCTATTCGGACGCCAGCAACGTCGCCTGCGGGGCTTTTGTTGTGGGCACTAATGAGGTGTCCCATCGTATGTGGACTGCTTGCGAAGCAGCTAAGAGCTCTACCTGGAGAGAACTTAAGGCTATACAATTTGTCTTAAGTGCGTTCAAAGCCTCGGTTCGGGGTAAGTGTGTAAAGTGGCATTCTGACAGCCAAGG